AATGTCTTCAGCAGAGGTAATTTTCATGCTGATTTTTGTGTCATCTGGAAAGGATGACACAAAGCTGTGACTTGTATTTTTATCTATATCTGATATGAGAATAAGGAACAGTAGCGGTGCAAGGACTGTACCTTGAGGTACAGAGCATTTAACTGCGCTTGGACTCGATTTTATTTGATTGACTGTTACTTTTTGTGTTCTGTTCAACAGGAAATTGAGTATCCAGCATCCTACTTTACCAGTTATTCCCATTGACCTCATTTTGTGTGCTATCACTCCATGATCACATTTGTCGAACGCCTTTGCAAAGTTTGTGTATACAACATCTGCATTTTGCTTTTCTTCTAGAGCTTCTGTGATTTTGTCATAGTGGTTGAGTAACTGTGACAGACAGGATCTGCCCGCTCTAAATCCATGTTGTCCTGGGTTGTGTAGCTCATTATTTTCCATAAAACTAGAAATTTGATTCCTAATCACTCTTTCAAACACTTTTATTATGTGTGATGTTAGTGCAACTGGTTTATAATATTTGCCAAGGCTTTACTACCCCCTTGTGCAGAGGAGCTATATCTGCAGATTTAAGTGCAGCTGGTACAGTATCTCCCCTGTATCCAGGCTCTTTCTCCATATTACGCCGAGTTCTCGCGCTATTGGTACTTTACATTTCTTCATGAATATTGAATTCCATGAGTGAGGCCCAGGAGCTGAGTGCATAGGCACATTGTCAATTTCTCGTTCAAAATCTTCCGAGTTCGTGTTAATATCCGTTATACTATCTGCAGCTTGAATGTCATTCATAAAGAAGCTGTCTGGGTCATCAACTTTCATGTTGTTTATTGGTGTGCTAAACATAGCCTCATACTGGCTTAGAATTTTACTAATCTCTTTGTTGTCCTCTGTGTACGTACCTCCATTTGTAATTAACGGTCCAATACTGGTCGAGGTTTTTTATATTGATTTTGCATATGTGAAAAAAATATTTTAGATTTTTCTTAATCTCTTGTATAGCTTTCTGTTCCAATTTCATTTCCTCAGACTCATATGATCGCTTCAACATTTGTTCTATTTCTTCGATCTCCCTGCTTAGGTTTATTTTCCTTGCTTGTGATGGTCGTGTCTGCCGAAGCATTTCTGTTATTTTTTCCTTCTCCTGTACAGTCGTCTGCGTTCTCTTTCTAGAGTGGTCCTCTTACTGACCCTCCTCACAGGCACGTGCCTCAAGCAGACCTTGTAAGCTTCAGCTGTCAGTTGAGCTATTCCCTGTGTGGGAGTTTTGTTGCTTAAGATGGTTTTCCATTGAATGGTTGCAAGGTCTACATTTATTTGTTCCCAGTCGATCCTCTTATAATTGAAATTGAATTGATTGAATACTCCTTCTCGCTTGTTGGGTCTTAGACCTACTACCGTTATTTATGCTAGTTCGCACTTCAATGAGCTTATGGTCTGAGTATGTAGTATCTGAGATTGTAATGTCTCTGATTAGTTCATCATTGTTTGTGAATAACAAGTCTAGTGTGTTTTAGTTCCTAGTTGGTTCTGTAATCTGTTGATTGAGCGAGAATTTGTCACAGAATCTCAAAAGTTCTCTGACCTGTGGTTGGTTATTTCCCGGGTCATTCCTAGCTATGATATTTGTGTTTGCCATTCTCCATCTTAGACTTGGTAAATTGAAATCTCCAAGGAAGATAATATCTGGAGCTGGGTTTGCTAGGTTATCAAGGATGTTCTCTATTTTGTGCATCTGCTCTGTGAATTCCTCAACCGTTGTATTTGGCAGTTTATATATTAGAATAATAATTAGGTTTAGTTTTTCTACCTTAATTCCAAGTACCTCTATCACCTCATTGGTTGAGTTTAGTAGCTCTGTGCATACCAAGTCTTCTTTAATATACAGACCTTCTTTAATATACAGCACAGACCTACTCCTCCATTTGACCTAGTTTCTCTATCACATCTATATAAATTATAATTTGGAATCCAGATTTCACTATCCATGTAATCTTTCATATGAGTTTCCATGAATGCCCCAAATATTGAGTTTGACTCTAATAGGAGGCCATTTATGAAAACTTTATTTCTTGACTTTGGCTTTAAACCTTGAATGTTTGCAAATATGAATGCTTGTCCATATTGTGTGTCCATAATTGACTAGTTTGTAGGTTCCACAGCCTATTGGGCTGTCACATCTACACCTAAAGCTGTAAATGGAGCTTGCCTTAACCACTTCAATTCTTAATACATTCCTTTTGTCCACTATCTTGATACTGAACAAATCCTTTCTAATGTCTCTCTCTGGCTCATTTGCCTTGTCTATTCCCCCCTGAGTATTTTGTACATGTCTACCCTGCTTCTTCAGTGAAATGAGATTTAACTACTTTTGTCTTTCCATGTGGCATACCTCTGAAATATTTCCAGCTTTTTTTGTGTGTGTGTTTAACGAGATGTAGCCACTTGAGGGACCTTCTCTCATTGTGTACTCATGAGAATACACTGTGTACTCTCATATGTTATTTCTTGCAGAATTCTATCATATTTCTCCCTTTTGGTAAGTCATTCACATTGATTAGGAATAGGACTGGTCCCAGTGCTGACCCCTTGTGGAACATGACTGATAACATCCCACCACTCTTAGGTTTCTTCTCTCACTATGACTTCTGTTACAGAAAGGTGCCCTCTCATGCTTTTAACCTGAAGTATCTCACACAAAAAGTCAAGAGCAAAGCAAAGAAAGGAGTTCAGCAATGAGATGGTCCAATGTTAGAAATTGTAACAATGCTAAGCACCTGCAGGGCAGACACAGTGAAGTCAGCAATTAAGTTCTAAAAGATGGCAGTGAACAACTTAGGCAAAATCAAAGTCTCTGCTGAATTGAATTCAAAGACAGGCAGCTCGGCCATTCCTTCGAATGTGGTTGACTTGTATAGGAGTGAAGAAAACTTTCTGTCAGGAGAGAAATTTGACATCTGCCAGACAAGCTTGCAGTTTTGTATCCTGCAGGAACACTTGTGATTGCATTCATCATGACATCTGTCTTGTAGAAAAGTGTGTAAGGAGGGTCCAAGAATCCAAGGAAGGAGCTCAAGGCTAACTCCATGCCTAACTCTGCCTATCAAGACAGATGAGTGAAGCCCATAGTCTTAAAAACAAATACAACCATGAAAAACTGGCCAAGGCATGACTTGGGAGAAAACAATATGGCTGCTCTTACACACAGGTGATAATGCAACACAATGTATTCCATATACAGTGCACAGCTAAGTAATGGTGAATGTAGTGGTAGACTACATTCAGAGGTGCCATAAGCACAATCAGAGAACACTGCGTGAACAAAAGAGGTCCAAAGCTGTTCAACATCCTCCCAGTGAGCATAAGAAATATTGCCAGAACAAACATGGACGTCTTTAAGAAAAAATGGATAGTTTTCATCAAGAAGTGCTGGACCAACCATGATGTAGTGGATACATGGGCCTGCAGGGAGCTCCAAACTATAGCTTGTTGGACTAAGCTCCCACAAGTCAAGCCTGGCCTCGGGCTGAGTTTGGGGAGTAGAAGAACTCCCAGAACCCCATCAACCAGGTATGATCAAGATAGACTCATAAGGAGAAAACCACTGCTGATGCCCTACTGAAATGGACCTGAACAAACTGGATGATAATATAACAATATGCATTACAAATGCTTATGGTTTTGGAACTAAGTACTAAGGAACAAGGATTATAAAATAAAATAAAAGGAGAATAGCCACTGCTGAAAGCACAAACCAACCAGGCACAGGGAAAGTGTATCTAGTCTGCCAGTCAGTAAAATTACTTGTACAAAAAGTTTTTTTGTTTTGTTTACAAACACACACGAGAAGCATTCACTCCTGTAGCATAAGCCCACTGCACAAACAAAACAATAAGGTCCACACGTTAATAATGCCACTTGTGAATTGTTCTGGTCTCTACCTGCCCATATTACCTGCAGTTGGGGGTCAAGTCAAATAATAATGTGAAGAGGTTGGATTGGGAATATTTTGTTGTGTGGGTGCTGCCATCTGCAGGTGGTCAGAGATAGTGATCAGTAGAGTCAAGTGATAGCTAGGGTGAAATTTGGCTGTACCTATTATACCGAAGAGCACCAAGAAAGGCTGTCGAGTTGTATGTGAACACACTTTCTGGCTGCATTCTGAACTGGACTTGGTACTCATCATTGCCTCCCCTAACACTAGCATTTAAAAAAAAAAAAAAAAAGTTCCCACTGCAGAAAGCTGACTTGCCCCAAATTTACTAGATGAGAGTTAAGACCATGACCAAGCAATGGAACCTGAGAGTTGTTCAGCATTCCACCTGCCTGATCTGCACAAGATCCCACACAGGGTTTTGTAGAAGCTTGCTGTAGGAAGTAGCGAAGTTGAAATCAAAAATAAAATTTTGGCAAAAAGTAGTTTAGATCGGCTCTAACAGAATCTGGGACTCGATGGATAGGGTCTGGAAAGAATCACTCCATTTGACCAAGATTTCTACCGTAAATACCGTTCTGAACAAGAAAGTTTGCACAAATGAACGTGCAATTTAATTTGAGTGAAAACTGGTCTTCACGTGCATTGCTGCAAAATTCACGTTAACAAACTAAACCTTAAACTAAATATGAAGGCAAATGTCAACACTTCTTAACACTTGTCTAATACATACTCTCGAGACTCACTGAACATGTGTATCTTGGATATAGTTCAATGTTTAGTTACCAAAGCCAAATCATCTCCTGCTGTCGACTCTGATCATGGCATTGTGAACACAAATATTGCACAGTTTTATAGCAATAGTGCTTTCGCTTTAAAAATGACCCCAATAACATTTATTGTAAATGTACAAAATTTAATAGTCTTAAGTCAAAAGACAAATGTAACAAAATGGTAAAAGGGCATACAAATTCAATAAGCATCAACTTCAACATTAACAACCAATTGAAGTCTTCGGCTGACCACGTACAAATAATCCAAAGTTAGAATAATGTTGAGGTTCCTTATGTTACATTTACTTTAAAATACATGAGTAAGGTACAGGTGTATTTGTTGAATACAAATTATAATAAATAACAGACAATGCAGCATGTGCAATCATTCCTAAACTAAAAACTTCCTATACGGAATAACATACTGGGAAATAATAATCAATAATTTGTACACACACTTTTTTGGGTGTGTATCTGTTGACCTTCTGTGTCAGGAGCAGTGTAGCCAGCGCTCACCTTGTGTCAGGAGTAGTGTAGCCAGCGCTCACCTTGTGTCAGGAGCAGTGTAGCCAAGTGCTCACCTTGTGTCAGGAGCAGTGTAGCCAAGTGCTCACCTTGTGTCAGGAGCAGTGTAGCCAAGTGCTCACCTTGTGTCAGGAGTAGTGTAGCCAAGTGCTCACCTTGTGTCAGGAGCAGTGTAGCCAAGTGCTCACCTTATGTCAGGAGTAGTGTAGCCAAGCACTCACCTTGTGTCAGGAGCAGTGTAGTGAATGTTCACCTTGTGTCAGGAGCAGTGTAGTGAATGTTCACCTTGTGTCAGGAGTAGTGTAGTGAATGTTCACCTTGTGTCAGGAGCAGTGTAGTGAATGTTCACCTTGTGTCAGGAGCAGTGTAGTGAATGTTCACCTTGTGTCAGGAGCAGTGTAGTGAATGTTCACCTTGTGTCAGGAGTAGTGTAGTGAATGTTCACCTTGTGTCAGGAGTAGTGTAGCCAGCGCTCACCTTGTGTCAGGAGGAATGTAGTGAATGTTCACCTTGTGTCAGGAGCAGTGTAGTGAATGTTCACCTGTGTCAGGAGTAGTGTAGTGAATGTTCACCTTGTGTCAGGAGTAGTGTAGCCAGCGCTCACCTTGTGTCAGGAGCAGTGTAGTGAATGTTCACCTTGTGTCCGGAGCAGTGTAGTGAATGTTCACCTGTGTCAGGAGTAGTGTAGTGAATGTTCACCTTGTGTCAGGAGTAGTGTAGCCAGCGCTCACCTTGTGTCAGGAGCAGTGTAGTGAATGTTCACCTCGTGTCAGGAGCAGTGTAGTGAATGTTCACCTGTGTCAGGAGTAGTGTAGTGAATGTTCACCTTGTGTCAGGAGTAGTGTAGCCAGCGCTCACCTTGTGTCAGGAGCAGTGTAGTGAATGTTCACCTTGTGTCAGGAGCAGTGTAGTGAATGTTCACCTGTGTCAGGAGTAGTGTAGTGAATGTTCACCTTAAGTCAAGAGCAGTGTGGGCCAATGCAGCTGGCTTAAAATGTTTCAAGTATTGTCTTCTGGGAGTGAATACTGGGCAATAACACCGAACATGTTCTAAAGAATTATGCACACTTACTTGGTCAACAACCTAGTGATGCACTTGTCAATTGCTGCGAATGAAAGTACGTGAAAGAACAAATGCGGGTTGTGTTAGCCAGCGTACACACGTGTAGAGATGGGGCTGTATGACAAAAATAAAAGCCTAAATAGGAAACGGAAAGCGCAAAGGACTAATGGAAAACAATTTTTTTTTTTATGACTGAAGAGTTAAGATGATAGCTAGAAGAAACTTATAAGCAAAAATTATAATAAAATGGATATTAAAACACATTTTCACATCAATGTTTCTAAGGGCAATGAAGGTTAAATTTATCTACTTCTCTGATACGTTAAACAAAAAAAAAAAAAATATATATATGTATATATATATATAATTTCATAATACAATAATTGATAATACTCTACAAAAAATAACAAAACAAATACAATACTGTAATGACAGGATCAAACTGTACCCTGATAGCAAGCTTCAACAAAGTACATTTACAGATAAACTGTTTCTCCTCAGCCTTCCTCCGCTACACCTAAGGAATTGAGACTTGATGCTAGTGAGCTGCCAAGAGTTGATGAAATGTCCTGATAAGAGAAGTGGTTGAAAGTCTGAAAATAAGATAAGAAGTCATTAGCACATTCTATGTTCAAATTGTTTACATTAAAGTGATTAAGGGAGGCATCACTATACCTTGCCACAATCATGCCCTTCCATATGACAAAAATAATCCCATGTAAACACTTTCATCAGTGCAATAATGAGAATAAGCAACTTGATGTATTCTAGAGAATAACTGCCAGAAATGACAAAGGCTGGGTGCAATGTGAAAAGAATCGAGTAAGAAAATATAAAGGAGTCAAGAAAGTTTGTAATTCCAGATTATTTGATTGGAAAGACTGAGGAACCTGCAGCCTTTTATGGTACTCAATGTGGCTTTTGAAATTCATGTGAAAAATTAGCAAAATGTTGTATAATGAAAAAAAAAATAGCGTTGAATGTAATGAAACGCCATTTTCTGGGTGAGTCCCGGAAGCTACCTGGAGCTATACCTGGCTGATGTGTATATATTAGACCATGGCAAGTCAATCGATGGAGTTCTATGTCTACCGGGGACCACAAACCAGAACCTGGCCCCCTCAGAGATGCACAAGAAGCAATGGCCTATAGACTCCCCCCACTGTAGTTGGAAGCAGTCTATCTATATCTACCCTCTACCAGGTCAGGCACCCGGAAAGATAGGAAACGTTCGGCTTTCGGTTTGGAATGTTTAACCACCTGTAGTTTGCTTTGGGATTCCTACCTTTCTGGGTGCCTGACCTGGTAGATGGCAGACATAGACTGCTTCCAACTACATGGGGGGTGTCTACAGGCTGTTGCTTCCTGTGCCTCTCTGAGGGGGGCCAGGTTCTAGCTCGTGGTCCCTGGTAGGCTAAGAACTCCATCGATTGACTGTTGCCACCGACTAATACATACACATCAGCCCGGTATTGTACCAGGGAGCTGAAGGGGCTCTCCACAGAAATGATGGGCACTATGTTTGGTACATAACCATATGGCAATGAATGAGCAGAGTAACCACAATAAAAGCCAGTGATAAAATTCCAAGAACTTTGAAGGACTTAGAAGATCTTAATAATGAAGAGGAATACATTACAAGCTGTTATTATCCCTCCCTGGATTAGCCCTGGCTGTCCTGTGGCTCCCTGAGTTTTGAGGATTAGTGGTGAGATAGCTTTGAGGGGCCCCTCCCAGAAATCCAGCATATCCCTCTTTCCCCAGGGGTTGGGGTAAGTTCCTCATGGCACCACAAAACTGAGTGATTTCGAAGGCTAGGATCCTGATCAAGAGGGGCTGCCATCTGGAGGTATAGCAAAGCAGTGTTCTCATTCTAATAATGTGTTTTTATAGTGTTAGTACCAGGTAAACTAGTTTCATGCTTCCAAATGTTTCCATGCATTTACCTGTCTTGGTGTGCTCTATCTTACAAGGTGGTTTATTGCTCTTAGTTCTCTGGCAATCCTAGATTCCCAGGCTCTCCCCTATACCTATGTTGTGTGGGTTAGATTCTGGTCCTGTCTTTAGCAGACCAATGGAATTCACTAGTCCTAGTAATTATCTACACCTAAGTGTAGTTACAGGACGAGAGCTACGCTCACGGTGTCCTGTTTTCCCAGCACTCTTTGTCGTATGACGCTTTGAAACTATTGTGTGGGGGTAGTCAAAGTTTGAATGTTGCCAAGGTCATAAGCTTGGGGGGGGGGGGCCTCCCAGAAATGGTATTGTAGCTAAAGGAGTTAAGGGTTAAGAAGCATCTCATTCATGCCAAACACACACATCTTTCCATCTATAAAATTGAATTTAAATTATTTATAATGTCCTCTTCAATTATTCTATTTCCATTAAATGTATATTTTCTCAATTCTTCATCCAATGCCTCGTATAATCACCTCCATAACAGTTTTGTCTATTTACATGGGTATCGGCTGGTAGCAACTCAAGCTACCCCTACACTTTATTCAACACTTATTACAGCTATCTTTCCTACTGTACAAGGTGGTCACAAAAGTATTTTGCTAATTGCATTACCAGAACCTAAAACACAAATACAGTATACAAAAGTCCAGCCACCCAAATCTACTTAGAGTATACTCACCAAGTATTCTGATTCTTCATCAATAACATTAAGGTGCTCCCCTTGATCAGGTGGAGTAAGCTGCACAGACTCTCCGGTGAATTCTCGATCGAAGTACCGGGTATCAGTCTCGCTGGTTACTTGTGGCTTGAATGGTGGAGTTAACTGTAGGAAATCAAATGTAATTTGAGATAAATGTTGTATAATATAAATTAAGTGTTGAATTCAATGAAAAGCCCCTACCTTATGGTACCAACCTGTCCTCCTCTCGAAGAGTCCATCGCACTTTCACGTATGCCTAAGCCCCTAAAATCCCCTAAGCCCAAAAACTGATGTACTTAAAATTCTAGCAGCTCGCAAAATTGACATACTGTACTGTCCTATTTTCTATTCGTGGATCCTCAGTTAGGTTCGGTAAATTTAGTACATCAGTTTTAGAGATGGTGTGAACGCTTCAGAGGACGGGCCGGTGGTACACTCAGTAGTTCCCTGAGCTATGGCACTGGGGCTGTCACGCCTTAGGAAATTTTACCAGGCCTCTCAGACTGACCCAAGACTATTGTGAGCCAGGACCACTATCTGGCACTCCATGAGGTGAGGTCTCCATCATGATTGAGGTCAAATCAAAAATACAATAAAGGGAGTTGAATGTAATGAAAATCCTCTTTCTGGTGGATCCTCAGTATCTGAGCTACATACTGGTATGAAGCTCAAATATACGGTATGTAGCTCAGTACATAGCTGGTATTGGTCAAACCTTCAGTACCTCATCAGGCTCTAGTGATTCATGAGTGCTTACTGGAGGCAATTACTAGAATCATGTCTACTCAATCAAAGTAAAGGAAGCTCTGGGGTCTAGGATAACCAATATACACACAATAACCAAGAGGACACACCTCAAACAAAGTAGAGTGAACCAAAACAGACAACTGCATGAATCCCATTTAGAATGCTGATCCTATGTACAGAATTCGTTACCTTGGGCGAAGCACTAATTCAAAGCACACACTCGGCACCAAAGTACAGCCCTAGCCACTTAAGTACCATCCAATGAACATCATGAGGAAGAGGGACCAGCATGGGAATGGGGAGATACTACGGGACCCCACCAGAAAGAGGTATTTCATTATATACAATGCTCATTTTCAGGGAGTGCCCCCTCAGTATCATAGATACATAGATACTCAGTCTATCTCACCGCAAAGAACAAGGTACAAAACAAGAAGACTGGCCATGAGGAAGAGGAATTGTGTATAACACACAAAGATGGACAGCTCTGGGTCAATCGACCCCAACACTGCATGAGCATGATGCTACCCAGAAACACTAACCAAAAAATTAACTATGACCAGGAGGCCTGGTCGACGACCGGGCCGCGGGGACGCTGAGCCCCAGAAGCACCTCAAGGTAACCTCAAGGTATGAGCACCCCATAGTGTGCCAGTACCATGAACTCTAACACTAGCCAACAACTGTGCCACACAGGCAGACAGCTGCAAACCAGAGCAACATACCCAGCAGGGACAAACCAACCAAAAAGAACTGCCCGAGACAACTGAGCATGGGGACAAGAGAACATGGACACAGGGCTAATAAAGAGCACACTGTAAGGAATGAACCTATATTAGTGCAAAAGGCATGAATACCAAGTCATGGGTTAATGGACATTGAACAGTGTGTTAACATTTCAGGTGCACTATTTTTTTTTAAGTCACGTCAAAGAGCACATGAGTGCCTAGCTCATCTGTGTATGCAGCTGTGTATATACCTGTGTATGCACCTGTGTATGGACCTGTGTATGCACAGCAAAAGAGGTATTTTCATGAGAAGAGTATATATCAAAATGGTAAGACATTTATTTGTAAATGTATATTTATTCAATGGTATTTCAGAATAAACTTGGAAGTCCTATGAACTAGTATAGGGGCATATTACAAAGACTTTTTGAAGCTATAGAGTGTTGGAATGAAGAGGCCATGAAAAAGGTGAAAGCTCATGATTGTAAACAGAGAACACATGTGGTGTTGTTGTTGTGCAGATGTGTTTAACTAATTCAAGATTATTTCCTGTATCCTTGTGGGTGAAGACAAATTGCCTGCTGCTACACAAACATAAGTATAGTATACTGCTCTCAACTGTGTAGTGCTTGTATTAGTCCAGAGTAGGATTACTTCAGATTTTGATGCTTAAACCCTTGGACAGCAGCTATTAAGAACTGGTCATACCTGCCTATGCACCAAAAATAACAAAATAAAAAAAATCATTATTTTATTTATTTTCCAGAATTATTAATTTGTATGCAGAATATAAGAAAAACACAAAATAAGTGAATTTTTATAATTTCACTGGGTGGAGGCACTCTGTAAGTGCTACACTCTTTATTTTCATCCACAGAGATTTAATATATCCATATTTGTATCATACAGTACATGTAAAACTCAGACAATAAACAAATCAACAAGGGCCGTGACGAGGATTCGAACCTGCGTCCGGTTCGAATCCACCTGCGTGGATTTGTTCATTTGATGCATCACGTTAGTGTGATCTCTGTGTGTGACTCAGACAATAATTTGTTTAAATCATAATATGATAATGACCACATTTCCATGTGAATCCACAATTGATTATAACCGCTGTCAAAGGGTTAAATATAAAATAATTAAAGATTCTAACCTTTTTTTCTTCAAGAAGTTTCCAGTTGATTGTTACATAGAAGGGATGACTCTGAACCTCTCTTACATCACCTGGACCACCTCCCAAACGTTTATTTGGATCCTTATGTAACAAACCTTTAAGCAGGTCACGGGCTTCTTGAGAAATCGTCCTTGGGAACCGTACCTGAAAATAATTGAGTTTTAAGACATGGCTGACCTTTAATTCATTGTTTTTGGTGTGGATTAGTGTAAAAAAAAAAAGTATTATATGTAAAATTCCTGCATAATGTATAATGCAAAACACTGTAATAAAGTAATTACATTTTTGGACCCATTTCCATACAATACCATAACAAGTTGCAATGGTATTCTGAAATGTAAAGGATTTGGGTGTACTAATGTCAGAAGACCTTACCTTTAAAGAACTCAATAAAGTAGCCGCCACAAATGCAAGAAAAATGACAGGTTGGATAACAAGAACTTTTCACACTAAAGATAATGTACTGATAATGATACTTTTCAAGATGCTAGTGCACCCTAGAGTGGAATACTGTTGCACAATGACAGCCCCCTTTTAAAGCTGGAGAAATTGCTGACATATAGAGTGTGCAGAGATCCTTTACTGCTAGAATCCACTCGGTAAAACATCTAAATTATTGGGACCGACTAAAATGCCTAAATCTGTCTTCTCGAGTGCAGGCAGGAGAGATACATAATAATTTACACATGGAAAATAGTCTTCTTGAGGTTATCTTGAGATGATTTCGGGGCTTTAGTGTCCCCGCGGCCCGGTCCTCGACCAGGCCTCCACCCCCAGGAAGCAGCCCGTGACAGCTGACTAACACCCAGGTACCTATTTTACTGCTAGGTAACAGGGGCATAGGGTGAAAGAAACTTTGCCCATTGTTTCTCGCCGGCGCCTGGGATCGAACCCAGGACCACAGGATCACAAGTCCAGTGTGTTGTCCGCTCGGCCAACCGGCTCCCTGGGGGGGAGGCTGGTAGTGGGGCTGGTCCAAACCTGCACACAGAAATAACATCACATGAGACCAGAAGACATGGCAGGATGTGCAGAATACCTCCCATTGAAAAGCAGAGGTGCAATAGGTACTCTGAGAGAACTCTATCAAAATCAGAGGCCCAAGACTGTTCAACATGCTTCTACTACACATAAGGGACATAACTCGTTGACCCCTCACAGTGTTCAAGAGAGAACTTGATAAGCACCTCCAAAGGATACCTGATCAACCAGGCTGTTACTCATACGTCAGGCTGCGAGCAGCCGCATCCAACAGCCTGCTTGACCAGTCCAGCAACAAGGAGGCCTGGTCAAGGACCGGGCTGTGGGAACGCTTAGTCCCGAAATCATCTCACGGTAATCTCAATGTAGGTACCTCATTCAGTGCTGAACCAAACTGCACTATGCAGTAATACAAATATGTAATAAATAATGCTTAAATTAAAAAAAACAAGCATTGAACGCAACGAAATGCCAGTTTCTGGGTGAGCCCCGGAGGCTCCCTGAAGCTATCTTCCTGAAATTGCTTCATACTACAAGGTCACATCAGCTGTGGTTAGTTTTCTTAGGCCTACTGGGGACCAGGGCCAAAACCTAGCCACCAACCCCCCCCCCCCCCTCACAGAGGCAGAAAGCAAGTGATAATCCACCATCTCACCAGAAAAAGCCTCCAGAAAGTCAACACAGCTTTACAGATAACTGGAGGGTTCATAGAAAACAAAGCCTCAAAAACTACCAACTACCACAAACGAGTCACACAGAATGTGGGATTTTCTCAAATAACTTTCAAACACATTAGTACTGATTACCACCACTAGGTGGCCCAACCCTAGCTCCAAGCTGGCTCCCCAAATAAGTTATGGATCTGAAGAACAAACTTACAATGAACCAATGAACCTGGAGGAAGGGGGGAGGGGAAAGGGGTACCACCGGGGACTCCTAACGAAATTGGCATTTCATTACACTCAATGCTGGGTTTCTGGAGGGAGTCCTCTCATGGTTTCCTGAAGCTAAACTAACCACAGAGAACAAGAAAAGGGACATGCAAGGAAGGATACGTGGCAAGTCCTTAAGACAAAGATGAGGTACCAGGCTGGGGAACATGGGTCAGAGCCTCACACAACCGACTGGGCCATGAACGTTAGCCAAATACAGTGGATTTTGTCATTGATGTATATCACGTTAGTGTGATTTTCTGTGCGTAGCCAAATACTGTTCTGAGCTGCCAGTACGCTGTTAGAATGCCAAAATCCCCAAGCCTAAATATTAGTCAATGACACATTAGAGAATACAGCAGCCAAAGCTGCATACTTACAAACATTATGGTTCCAAGGGTAGAAAGCAAGTTGGCAAGACTATGACACTGCGAACAACCTTGGAAATGTAAGTCGTGGAGCAGGAAACCAAGAAAATGGGATTAACCAACAAGGTGTCCACCAAAACAGAATTGGTGGCACACCGGTAGCAGCGAGAAGTCGCCAAAGGATGCAGCAAATGACGCATCTCCGGCTGCACCAACTAAGCATCGATCATCAAAGGACCGCTGTCCTCCACCAGAAAAGGAGATGGCTGCAAACAAACTACCTGTCAGATCCAAAAGAACATCCCCCCCCACCTCCAGAGAAGAGCCTGAAGCTCCCCAACCCAACAGCAGGAGGCGAGAGACAACAGAAAAACCTCCTTAATAATCAAGGCAATAAAAGAAAAGCCAAAACATGGTCAAGAGACCAGGACGGCTCAGGAGGAGCACGAGCAGGGCAGAGGTGGAAGAACACAAGAGACAACTTGCAAAACAGAGCTGCGGAGGTGTCATCACAGAATGTGAGCACCAGCAGCTCAGCCAAAGCCGAATGATATAAGGAGACAGTATTTGGCATATGATGCCTGTCGTGATAACCAAGATAAAAAGGAGAGAACAGAGCAAACCGAAACTGAAGACAAGTGACAGAAACAAATCGTGGTGAAAAAGAGTGCCAGGCTACCTCGTACTGTCACTACAAAGTCACAGGTGAGTGACCAACAAATTCGCCAGCTGACAGAGATGTGTCAGAAAGTCCAGACACATAAGAGTAGAGAAGTTCAAACCAGTGAAATATAGCGTTAGTCTGATCTACTGGAAGAGGCGGAGTTGTGGACAAACACCCAAGTTCAGACACTGGACAAGACGACACAGGAAACCAAGGTTAGGCTGGCCACCAAGGAGCCAGAAGAATCACCCTCCCTGAGTACAACTCTAGACTAGCCAACACCCTGAGCAACATCTAAATCGGGTAATAAAAGTAAACGCAGCTCCACTACAACCAGTCTAGTCAAAAAGCATCCGTTGTGAGAGCCTTGTAACTGAGGAACAGAGCCACATAGAAGGGAAGGTGCTGTTTCAATGGTGACTTAAAGAGGTCCACCTTGGAGAGCCCAAATGTCTTGTAAATCCAATGGACAAATGCAGAATCGACAATCCACTCTGGACTGTTGAGTGGACTGTTGAGTCCGTCTGTTGAGATGGGCTGAAAATGTATTACTTGTCATTGAGGATGTGGCACACACCCTGTGCATAAACTGGAAGGAGAAACCAAACTCTATGAAGCCAAGCCACATGAAACATCTGGTATACACAGGGAGATGGATTGAAGAGATCTCCATCGGTTCAATCAATGGACCACTGTTGTCATTTGACTGTAGAAAAATCAGCCTCCAAGGATGGATAATCGGCCCCCAAGGGAAGATATTACAGTGTACTATAAAAATACAATCACTTAGACCAATAAGAAGAATGAAAAGATGATATGGGATATAATTGACAGAAATTGTAAATCATGCAGTGAAAAATGCAAGGATTTGTCCTATTATTTATTATAACAACCTTTGTACAGTTTCCCTATGTGAAATAACATTTTTGCCTCCTCTGATAAACTAAAGCATACTAATGTAATATATCAATACAAGTGCAATTCTGAAGACTATATGCTCCAAACTGTATGCCATACTGGGACCACCATGAATATGCTGAGTAGACATCGTACACTTCACTTGCAATGTGACGGTATTCAGCAACATCCTTCAACACCAAAACACCGTCCTGAATCACCAGGACAAAGTGAAGGGCACCACAATAATCACACGCACCAATGACTACAAGGAGGGTCTGTACACTTGAGGCACTGTTCATTCGAGAGCTGACTCTAGTTATCAACATTCACGTGAATTCATCTTCGAACATACAATTGTTTGATGGCCCTCAACTGATCCAGAGGGAAGACAGCAGACCCAGTAGACAACTATTAGTTGCAGTTAGGCAGCAATCACCTCACCTAATCCTTCGTCATTCTCTACGATTAAGAACTACTTAATTGAAGGGTGAGGTGTATGCATGCTTATAGATGTCAATGTTTTTGCATGTATAATTAATATACTTGTGCCTTAATGTCCAAGCATATATTCCCAAAGATATCACATTGCTGAGAAATTGTTGAAGAAATAAAATGGAAAGATTTGTGATTTAACGTTTCTTCACCCTCTAGAGTCTAGATGGTTGAAGGTATTTACGTAGAATGGAAAATATCAATAAGAAAATTAATGATAGTCAAAATGCTGTTATGTTGAATTACACAAATGTGTGTAATTAGAGAGGGAGGTTTAATTGCATGCTTCTTGTACACAAGGACAGGAAGTTGGTAGCATGTCAAAGGTCCCCCATTTGTTATGATGATTCTTCCAGCTGGATTTTAAAATTCAACAGAGTATTGGCATTTACGACTTATGCGGGTAGGCAGTTCCATGGGTTTATAACCCTGTGGGTGAAAAAGCATCTCCTGTTTTCAGTCTTACATTGTAGCGTGTTAATCTTGAAACCATTGTTCCTTGGTTGTGTTATATTTGACCTTATGAAGAAGTTGTCCGGATCAACATTCTCCAAAGTGTTCAATATTTTAAAAGTGTTGATGAGATTAGCCCTGCCATGCCTAGTTTGCCCTGTGGCCCTCAACCGTTCCAAGTTTGAGAGTTGACTTTGTTCTAGAATGATTTTTGTTGCCTGGTGTTAAACTTTCTCCAACTCAAAACTGTAAAAGGGGAATCCGACAAATGTGGGGGCCCATTGTAATAGCAATTATGATTAGTGGCTAAAGCTAGTAGAGTTAGTAGCAGTTATTTTATATTAGTGGATGACAGCAGTAACATGAGAGAAACAATTATTATTGATGGACAATAATATTAATGACAATAAACATTTATGTTGTTAACTAATAACAACACTTTACCTGGCCAACTCCTATGAGTTTTCATAATACTGAATACATAATGGATTAAATACAAAATAAATCACAAACATAACATAACATATCCTTGAGGGATCTCTTATCAGGAACATCCAATAAATTTCAACATAATTCTCAATAACAGCCTTACGAGGAGATACTTACATCTTCACAGACTATAAGTTGGAAAAGCTTATCATGATCTTTGTCGTAGAAAGGTAAGCGTCCTACCATCATTTCGTACAAACATACACCGTAGCCCCACCAGTCTACACCCCGGCCATAATCATTTTCCTCGAGCACCTGAAAATTAAACAAATATGTAGACACTGGTATTCAATTAATGACAAATTAAACAACATTTTGCAACATATGACAATTTATATCCTTAAGACAAAATTATTTATCGTCAAGCATATTCATTTATCCAAAATTTATACTGTATTGGTGAACATATAAGCACAAACTGATAGCTGCAACTGCATTATATTAAACACAGCATGAGTGAGAGAGGCGGGACCAAAGAGCCAAAGCTCAACCCCTGCAAGCACAACTAGGTGAGTACATGCACTATTCGGTGGAAACCTAATTAACATTCAACAACACTGAAGGGAGAAAAGTAAAAGAAAAGCAAGGAGTAAGATTTTCAAAATAAGAGAGCTAGACGTATAAGGAACACTGCAATATATATGGAACATACCCTTGCAGAATACGTTAGACTTTTGAGTTAATATATAAAGGCCCTTCAAGTACGTGTCCTTGAACATGAGATGTACGATCAGCTAGGGGGTGATACGCAGCACAGTGCCTCCTGGAAATTTCAAGCATCCCTGCAGGGGTCATAATGTCCTCGAGTAGTCTGAAGAAATAAGCCAGTCCAGCCTGGGAATACCCATCTAAGGTACATTTATGAGAACTCAAAGATCCTGCTTGGCAACAAAAGAAACCACCACATACGCACTCTCACCAACAGTCACCAGGTGGCAGTACTTCACCGGGTGGCTGTACCACCCCAGGGCCCACTAACTTGAGCCAGCACACACAGTATCTGACAAAGCAGATGGATGACAGATTGGAAAATGGGAACAGCTAAATAATACTGCTAAAAAAACTTTTCACATTAACTGAAAACATTTTATCTGAGCTCTTACACTCCCATAAACAAGAATACCGTATTGTACATAAACAGACGTATAAGGCAGAAAACAACTTAAGAGAAACACTCGCCTGTGCCTTAAGTGGTGCCTGCAGGAAGTAACCAAGAGGATGTGAACAAGTAGAAGGGGCCAGAACAAACACCATGACAGGAGATTCAGTAGGAGAAGAGGCAGCCAAGGAGCTAGGATGGGTATCTACTAACAAATATGCAGTTGATTGCAAGAAGCCTAGAACGCAAATTTCTTTACAGGACATAGCAGAGGGGTCAGTGATGAAGAAACCTCCTCCAATTGTGTGACCTACTTTACCTTGTGTTGTTCCAGGAATAATGTCTTGAAGGGCCTGATCTCTGACCAGGCTGCTAAATGCAGCTGCTTGCAGTCTGATGTACAAATCACCGCCTAGTTGATCAGTATCCTTTGCAGGAGTTTATCAAGTTCTCTTTGAAACAACATGAAAGGATGGCTAGTTATGCACCTTTTGTACAGAGAGAGAGTGCTGGAAAGTCTTGGTCTCTCACTGTTGACAGAATTGTCTCTTAGCATACCCACTGCACCTCAGCGTTTCAACTGGGCAATTTGCCCTTCCTGTCATGCCTCCTATTTCATGAAGAGTTATTTCTGTGTGCAGATTTGGTACCAGTTCCTGCAAGAGCCTGCACCCTAGAGAATACAGTTTTAAGACACATCAAGCAGTCCTAATAATTTAGATGTTTTATCGAGTGGATTTGGGCAGTAAAAGATCTTTGCACGTTCTCCAGGTCAGGAATTTCTTTGGCTTTGAATGGGGCTGTTAGAATGCATTAATATTCCACCTCTAGAGAGCCCTAGTGTCTTAAAATTTATCAATGGTCTGACATATTTTGTTTGAAAAGTTGTTATTCAACATATCATTTTTCTTACAGTTGTGACAGCTATGTTATTGTGTTCTTTAACCCTTACACTGCTCCAATTGCTTAATTAAGTGTGATTGGCCCATGTGTTTCAATTGCTTAGAGATTATTTAAGGTGCAACATTTTATTAAAAAAAAACACCCATTCTACGAGGAAATCATTTGACAATAGAGACCTCTGTCAATTGTTTGCCTTATTTGAAAAAAATCCTGTGTGTTAGTTTCCCTCTGAGACCTTAGTAAAGAAGATGCAGACCATGTCTGGCACATCACCATCCACTGACTGAACATGCATGGCGGCCACGCTAGTAACCATTGAATTTTGAACAGCAATAAATCAGCGATATCCATGAATATATTTGGAATAAAAATTTCTGCATATATTTATATACATATCTGTACATACAAATATTTACAAAATTATACATCATGAATAGCACTACTAATACATCAATACAACATGTGAGCATGAAAAAATGTAATAAATAAAGCGAGAAAAAGTGGAAACATAAGGACAAGGTTATTCCCATGTGGCACCTCAACCTTAATCCAAACAACTTCTCTGGGCCACTGCAGCTAAACCATGATAGGTAGAGACTTTTTAATATGGATTTTTGGTCTTCCTGGATGCTAATTAACAATGTCAACAAAAATTCAGAATTTTGTTTTCTTACGCATGACAGACAAGGCATCAAAATAGCTTGCGCAGGTAGGGCGTTCGAGGTATCTTGAGGTTATCTTGAGATGATTTCGGGGCTTTTTAGTGTCCCCGCGGCCCGGTCCTCGACCAGGCCTCCACCCCCAGGAAGCAGCCCGTGACAGCTGACTAACACCCAGGTACCTATTTTACTGCTAGGTAACAGGGGCATAGGGTGAAAGAAACTCTGCCCATTGTTTCTCGCCGGCGCCTGGGATCGAACCCAGGACTACAGGATCACAAGTCCAGCGTGTTGTCCGCTCGGCCGACCGGCTCCGTCGGCCGAGTAAGGTAAGGTCTTTTAACATGATTACTCCCAAATCTCTTGCATTGCTTTCTCATTCTATAGTATTATTTGACTGCATTTTACATGCGGTTTCTGTTTTGATATATTTATTAATATAGATAGGTTCCAGGAGCTGGAACCTATTTTCTTTAAACATCATATTATTTTCTATCAGGCCCCCCCCCCCCCCCCCCCCCCCCCCCGAGACGTTTATGGCCTACCAAGAACTAGAGCCAAAATCTGGTTTCCTCAAAGCAGGGAGAGAAACCCATGGTGATTAAGATTAACCTCCCAACCGAAGTGAATCACTCAGAAAGCCAAAGGGGTAACAAAACAAACAACTTATCTATGAGAAAGAAATGAAAAAAAGACTAAAACAAGCGAGTCTATAGTTGGCAAGAGGTAAACAAACCTTGCTCAACTGCCTAATCCACCATCAAGTGGTCGCCCAAGTCAACCTATAAACAAACCTTGCTCAACTGCCTAATCCACCATCAAGTGGTCGCCCAAGTCAACCTATGTGCTGGCCAACCACCCTCCAAACTTACTAGCAGCCCAAGACAACTCCCAACCTCATGAAGAAGAAGGGGACAAAACAGCAGGAACAAGAAGCTATCGAGATGCTGCAGAGAGAGTAGTTTCATTACAATTAACTTTTTATATTTGTACTGGCCATCTCAGAAGCTTCTTGGAGCTCATGGACAATGGCACCTCAAAGGCAAATGCTTTCCTGAAGGGAATGTAATATTAGTAGAGAACAAAGACAGAAAAGAAAAGAACACGATCCAAAGATCACATATTCCCCCAAAGGAAAATGAGCTGGCTGGAGTTGAGAGAATGCCATATAGTATAACTTCAAGAACAGAGAAGATCAATCCTGAAAGGCAACAATAGAGGTTATGTCAGGGCCGAACAATAAGAGGCAATAGTATTAGACATTGAACAACAGTCCCAATGCAGTCACATCAAAAACAGCAACCACAAGAACAGAATCTAAAGACAACTGCCGAAGAAACAGGAAAAGACGAAAGATTCAACATGTCACCTAATAGGCTCACTGCCTTTCACTGCCGTTGAGAGGACAGCCATACAAGTCACTAAAGGAGATAAGGTACTCAAGCACTATACAGGTGGCTGTAACACAGGTCTAAAATTTATACATGTGAAAATCAACAGAAAGCCTCGAACCATCAAGTCACCATGCCAAAATGCTGGGAAAAGCAGAGCCTCAGAAAGATGTACAGAATTGGACAACAAGCCTAAAGATGCTCCAGAAACCCCAGTTGAGCAGAGCCACCAAAGTGCCAAAAGGATCACACTGCTGATAAATGTCTCCAGCTTGGAAAGGATGGAGCGGAGCAACTGCACCAGAGAGAAGAGGTAAAGAAAATCCCACAGACTCCAATCAACAGTTAACGTCCTTCAATCTGGAAACATGGTGACATATAGGAATTGTCCGATTCCACATACAAATGAACAGGTCCACATACGAGATTCCATCAGCAGCAAGAGGATTTTGCCTTAATCCTTGCACTGTGCCCATTTATTGCTGACTACACCCTCATACTCAAGAAAAAATAATTCTCCGTTAGTTTCTTCACCCCTGAACCTCATCACGACCAGGAATGCAGCAGAACTTCACACGATTCACTTCTAATGTTGTCCCAAAACAGATGTTTTACCATCTTCTATGAAATGAAGAGTATGCCTTAATGGTTTACAAGGTATTGTATAACTATGTAAAACCAAATAATTTTTAAAGCTTTTTGTGGCTTTCTTCTATATTTATCAATAAGTGGTATCTTCTACAAGTCTTGAGGAAGGGAAATTTTGGTCATTAAGACAAGACCCCCTAAAGGAAGACAGAGAAAAGCTAAAATTAAACCTCGATAAAGTGAAACGTCTAAATGGAAACAGAAATGAAGAAAGAAGAGACGTTCTTTTTTCTACAAGGTGAAAGGAACTGGAAAGCCTGTGGAAATGGTATATAAAAACAAACCAACAAAATCCTTCGAGGAAGGGGAAGTAAAGGACAAAGGGAGAGGGAACATGTTCCTGAAAATTGGATATACCAACAAGATGAAATGAGATAAAAAATATTGGAGCTAAAAGACATACTGTACTGTAATTCAGCTTATGGTCCCAGATATTGTTGCACTAACAGAGACAAAACTTGAAGAAAATATTTTAAATGAGGTCATATTCCCAGGGGACAACTCAGTTTGGGGATGTGACATAAAACTAGGAACGGTGGAGGTGCAGCTGTGCTGGTGAAAGAACAGCTGAAGGTAAGAGAGTTAATAATTTGACAACCCTCGAGATGTTGACATAATGGCATGGCAGGTTTGGAATCAGGATGATAAACTGATAATCGTAAATGCCTACAGCCCACCAACAAGCAACATGTGGACAAAGGAGGAACAGATGACAAATGAGAAGGTCTCATAATGGTCATGAGAGAGATTTTAGTAAAATCAGATAAAGATAAATCATGATTGTTGGTACTGCGGGACTTCAACTTAAAAGCAATGGACTGAGAAGTCTACGAAGCAAGAACGGAGGACACTCTGACAGGCAAATTTGTAAACCTCATTCTGGAGACATTCATGTAACACATCAAGCAGGCCACACATGAATGAGGGAAGGGGATGTTCCATCAATACTGGATTTAACATTCACCAGGTAAAAAGATATTTTTTATATTCAGAATGGGGACATTGAAACAGTTGATAAACTCGATTTCAAGAGCAGACACTATGGTAAGCTTAGCAAGTTCTTTAATGAATTTAATTGGAATAACTTGTTGCTAGGCAAGGTGAGATTTATGCCAAATTCTGTGAAATATATGAAGGTAGCAGACAAAAATTTATACCGAAACAGATGCAGAATCAGGAAACAGGATTGGTTCAACAGCAATTATGAGAGGACCAGAGGAAAGACAAGAAAATGGGTACAATATAGGAAGAGGCCTAACCATCAAAACATATCAGCACTATAAGCAAGAAACAAACACACAGTAGCGAGGAGAGAGGCAGAAAAGAACTTTGAGAAAGGAGTAGCGGACAAATGTAAAACAGATCCAGGCATTTTCTACAAATGCCATATAAAAACATTATGGCGACAATTATCCCCTACCTTAATTTTGAAAGGGGCTGTTGCACAATGACAGCCCCTTTCAACACTGGAGAAATTGTTGACCTGGAGAGCATGCAGAGATCCTTTACTCCTAGAATCTACTCAGTAAAACATCTAAGCTATTGGGACCGACTGAAATGCCTAAATCTGTATTCTTTTGAGTGTAGACGAGATACATAATAATTTACACGTGGAAAATAACAGAGGGGGCTGGTCCCAAACCTGCACACAGAAATAACACCATGTGAGATCAGGAAGCATGGTAGGATGTGCAGAATACTCCTGTTGAAGAACAGAGGTGCAATAGGTATCCTAAGAGAACTCTATCAACATCAGAGGCCCAAGACTGTTCAACACGCTTCCATTACACATAAGGGACATAACTGGCCGACCTCTCACAGTGTTCAAGAGAGAACTCGATAAGCACCTCCAAAGGATACCTGATCAACCAGGCTGTGACACGTACGTCAGGCTGCGGGCAGCCGCGTCCAACAGCCTGGTTGACCAGTCCAGCAACGAGGAGGCCTGGGCGATACCCAGGCCGCGGGAACGCTAAGCCCCAAAACCAGCCCCAAAACCAACACATGGTAACCATGGTACCATAAAAACTTCAGGCAATTGTGCTTTTGGGGTTCTCTCTATTTTCTGTCAAAGAGATCGCAGATTTAGGCATACCAAACACGATAGCAAGAGCAGCCACGCGGGCATCACTTTCATATTTTGATCCGAGTTATTTTTCACCTCTATCATAGTTCTTAAAAAAAAATTCATTTGGTTCTTAATACTAATTTTCTTAGGTGCCATGGTGACTTATTTACTCTAAAAAATATTCAAGGAAATATGAAAAAGTTTACATTGAAGTTCAGTGGGGAATGCACTGAACGACAGAAACTGGGTAACTGACTCGTCCATTACGTGTGTTTATGTTTGAGTGCCGAGAAAATGGTCGACTACCGATCACTAACACAACAAGCGAGTGCTGAACTGATCAAGCTGGGAGTCATTCAAGCATCAAGGTTCCCCTGTTTATATACAATGTAATCATATGTAAGAGAATGATAGAATATGCAAAGAGAGTATCACACTATGTTCACTCACCTCAGAAAGAGCACACACTTACACAAGAGACAACAGGAAAGGACATACATGATATACATACAGAAAACCAGGAAGCAACACGAGTCTTCCTTTACCTCCGGTGCTAAATATTCAGGTGTGCCACAGAAAGTGCGAGTGGTCGACCCATATGAAATGTCTTCTTTGCACAAGCCGAAATCTGCTATTTTAATGTGGCCATCAGCATCAAGTAATAAGTTTTCCAACTGTGAAAAAAATAAACAAATGAATATATTGTAAGTGCATGTTACAACTCTTACTTATATAAATAACATTTTATTAACCACTGCACTGCGCAAAGCGCCTTTAGGCGCTCTAAGAGTTGTGAGTTTTGTTTTTTAATTAGACTATATTTTTATGTTTTTTAATGTTTTCATTACTCTTTGTGTTCTGAAAGGGAAATAGTTGACTTTGGAAACATTTTGACATTAACTTTACCTGAGCATTTATGAAAACAAAAAAAATATGTCCTTGACAATTGCACCAAGACTTTTTTGCCGAAAATGTGTGAGCAGTGCAGGGGTTAAACACCAAGTTATGAGGGACAGGATAAAGGAAAGACAAGATCAATGAACCTTAATATTTAGTGGTATTTAATGCAATCAACCAGACCCCATTCTTACTAACACTTGTGATATTATTGTCTACAGCAATGGGATCAATGTCAAGAATATAAAACAGAGCATACTATAATTTAACAAAGATTATCTTGAGATCTTGAGGTTATCTTGAGATGATTTCGGGGCTTTTAGTGTCCCCGCGGCCCGGTTCTCGACCAGGCCTCCACCCCCAGGAAGCAGCCCGTGACAGCTAACTCCCAGGTACCTATTTACTGCTAGGTAACAGGGGCATTCAGGGTGAAAGAAACTTTGCCCATTTGTTTCTGCCTCGTGCGGGAATCGAACCCGCGCCACAGAATTACGAGTCCTGCGCGCTATCCACCAGGTTACGAGGCCCCCAAGATTGCTGACAGTTTAAACACTTCACACAAGTGTGTACGGCTAAATGTACAGTGCCCCTTTAACTCTACTTAGACAAACTTAACACAATTGACAGGGAATGCTAGGGGTATCTTCTTGAGGTTATCTTGAGATGATTTCGGGGCTTAGCGTCCCCGCGGCCCGGTCCTCAACCAGGCCTCCTTTTTTTTATACATCCCCAGGAAGCAGCCCGTAGCAGCTGTCCAACTCCCAGGTACCCATTTACTGCTAGGTCAACAGGTGCATCAGGGTGAAAGAAACTCTGCCCATTTGTTTCCGCCTCCACCCGGGATCAAACCTGGAACCTTAGGACTATGAATCTCGAGCGCTGTCCACTCAGCTGTCAGGCAGGTCAGGTTTGTTCTTAGCAAAAACAAACCTTAGCAAACACCTAAAGCCAACATCAATACCAATGAAATGCTCGGCATATTAGTAGCTTTATGTACATTTCTCATCTACAGATTCTCCACTGTTTCATGTATCAAATGTATGTATTTTTATTTAAATATTATTACATGTATTATATGAAGAGAAATGACAATATCTGTAACTACCTTCCTGTTGTTCACCTGTTGTTGGTTCCAGGGACCAACATCCCCAAGGCCAAGTTTCTGATCAGACCTCCTAGTTAGTGGTCTGTTCAGTCAGGCTGTTGAATATAGTTACTCACAGCCTCTCGTATGAATCACAACCTAGTTAATCGGGTACCCTTTGGAGGTGGTGATTAAGTTCTTCTTTGAACACTGTGAGAGGCTGACCAGTTATACCCCATATGTGTAAAGGGAGTGTTGAAAAGTCTTCAGTCCTTGATATTGATAAGAGTACCTCTTATCAATACCTGTTATATTACTTGATGAGAGAGTAATAATGCACCTCTGCATTTCAATGGGGCTATTTTGCACATCCTGCCATGCCTCCTGGTGGAGGCATGGCAGGATGTTATTTCCGTGTGCAGATTTGGAACCAGTCCCTCTAATAGTTTCCAAGTATAAATTATTATGTATTTCTCTTACCAGCACTCGAGTGAAAACGGGTTTAAAAATTGTTAATGGTTCCAATAATTTAGAAGTTTTATTGGGTAGATTCACATAGTAAAAGACTTTTGCATATTCTCCGAGTCAGCAATTACTCCAGCTTTAAATGGGATTGTTAAGTGTCCAACAATATTTCACTCTAGAGAGCACTAGTGTCTTAAAAAGTATCAATATTGTTTATCCTCATCAAAACGTACATTCACTTGTTTTGAAGGTTCTTGTTATCCAACCTATCTTTTGTTCCGTTGTGACAACAACCTTGCTGTGTTCTTTAAAAGTGAGGTCTTCCGACATGATTACTCCCAAATTTTTTATATTGCTTTTTCTTTCAATAGTGTTGTTTGACTGCATGTTGTGTGCAGTGTCTATTTATATTTTTTATTTTCCATACCATAGTTGCTGGAACTTATCTTCCTTAAACATCATGTTATTTTCTATGGCCCACTGAAAGACCTGATTTATATCATATTGGAGGTTTGCTGTGTCCTCTCTATAGTCTACTCTCATGAAAATCCTGCCGTCACCTGCAAAGGATGGGACAGTACTTCATCGGCTCTTGCTTTGCCGGCTTTCTTTCAGGTTTCAGGGTGCCATCCTGCCCAGTCACTTGATGTGTTTCCGGATGTCCCAGCTTGGGGCTTCGAGATCAGCACTCGCCTGGCTACCCAGGATCAGTGGTTGGGGGTAGGTGGTGGGGGAACCTTGGCGTAGTGATCCTTACTGGACTGTGCTCCTTCGTGCACACAGTCCAGTGCGCAAGTTTGTGGCTATGAGGAATACTCTACGGAGGATATGACCTCTTCCATGCTCCAGGTCCACTCTGACTACTCCCTGGTGGTTTAATGCCTGAGGTGAGGAAAAAGCTTTGGTCAATTACTCTATGGAGCTCAACTCTTCAAGTAGCTCGACTTCTGCTTTCTCAGGGTTTGATTTTCCGCATGGTTCATGTATGGTATGTGTTTATCATTCTTGCACAAATGGGTTTGTCTCTGCAAGTCATTTGGTTGCCCCAAGGAGGACTTCTTTGCATCTGCATATAAGCAGCGCCAGAGTTGTACTTGGGGAGGGTGATCCCTCTGGCAGAGAGAGACAGAGAGAGAGAGAGAGAGAGACAAGAGACAGAAAGACAGTCAGATTTTTTATTGCACACAAACCTATTTAAGGACAAAGTGCGATCATAATTTAGGGTGCAGCTAAATGAGATGCTTCACAAACACCCATTTGACACAGGTATCAAATAGATAAGGCTATTTATAGATATAAGGTATAAGGCTAATAGATATGTAGATATAAGGTAAATGGCTAATAGATATATAGATATAAGGCTAATAGATATCAAATATAGTACCTTTAAATCCCGGTAAATTATATTTCTTTCGTGTAAATATCCGAGAGCAAGACAGATTTCTGCTCCATAAAACTTGGCACGCTCTTCAGGAAATATGCGTTCTTGATTAAGGTGAAAAAAAAGTTCTCCACCATTGACATATTCCATCACAAAGCAGAGACGATCATTTGTTTGGAATGAGTACTTGAGGTACTGAAAATAAAATAAAACTATCACTTTTAACCCAAATCAGAATACCTTTCACCCCATCAAATGCCATTATATCAAGTAACATCAAATAATGTTGACCAGACCACACACTAGAAGTTGAAGGGACGACGACGTTTCGGTCCGTCCTGGACCATCCTGGACCACACACAATCGACTTGAGAATGGTCCAGGACGGACCGAAACGTCGTCGTCCCTTCAACTTCTAGTGTGTGGTCTGGTCAACATACTTCAGCCACGTTATTGTGACTCATCGCCAACATCAAATAATGATTTTGGACTTAATAAAACAAATGTTTAATGGCAAAAAGCTGACTTACAGTGAGAAAAGGATGATCCACGACTTGTAACACGCGGTTTTCAGTCAGTGTGTGGGCCACTTCATCACGCTTGATAATCACATCCTTACGTAGGATCTTGATAGCATAGAAGTGATTGCTGCTCTGTTGGGATGAATGTATTATATAGCTCTCAATATTCATGTTTCAAAAACACTGAGAAATTAAAGTTACATTACCAAACACAAGTTAAGGTCATAAGAGGCAGTAACTTTTTTGCTTACTATATTTGGCCAAATCGATTTTTTAATTTACAAATGAAAATAAATTGGAAAATGAGCTTCCTTAGTAGTATCTTACCTTTTCCCTACAAAGAATTACTTTTCCAAATGTCCCTTTTCCAAGAACTTTCAGGAACTCGAAGTTATCTAGAGTCTGTAAAAAAACATAAGAGTGTTAAATACGATATAATGAACACCCTTTTTTGGACTCTGTATCTGTCATTCATCTAGTTTATACTCTGGCCATTACTGGACAGACTTCAACTGCACCAGGTATCCATAAAGCCATTGATTATCTACCGAGGACAATGGCTTTTGCAATCTCCCTATCAGATATCAATATCACTCCACTATAGCGAACTGCCATTATTACAAGGGAGACTGAACCTAGATACTGGAGTTATCCCCCAACAGTGGAGATCGTGCCACTCCACAAAGGACATAGTAAAGCAGATAAAATAAAACTAGATCAATAGTTCTAACATTCTACCTGTTGATTCTCTGTTGTTGGTCCCGGAGATCTACATATCCTGTGGCCTGGTTGGTCATCTGGTTAACCAGGCTGTTGGACGCAGCTGCTCACAGCCTGACATATGAATCACAGCCTGGTTAATCAGATACCCTTTAAAGGTGTTTATCAAGTTTTTGCAGTCCCTATGACGAAGTGGTAACACATTCGCCTGTCGTTTCACTAGTGCTTTGACCCGAGTTCATATCCTGGCCGAGAATTTACTGGGCACCAATCGTTAACTGTAGCCTCTGTTAACCCACAGTAAAATGGGCACCTGGTTGTTAAACGATTTAGTGGGTCATATTCTGGGGAAAATTAGGACTAAGGACCTGCCCAAAACATTATGCATGCTAGTGTCTGCACAAGAGCGTAAGAATTCTTGTACAGACAGTATAAAAAAATTAATGAAAACAGTTGTCTCATGAACACTGTGAGAGAACTGTTAGAAAGTTATGCCCCCCCCCCTTTATGTGTAGAGGGAGTGTTGAAAAGTCCTAATCTGGATAGAGTTCTCTTTCAGCATACCCATTGCATCTCTGCTTTTCAACAGGGCTATTTTGTGCATTCTACCATGCCTCCTGGTTTCATGTAGAGTTATTTCCAAGTGCAGATTTGGAACCAGTCCCTTTAATATTTTCCAAGTGTAAATTATTATTTCTCTCTCTTGCCTGCACTCTAAAGAATATAGGTTTAAAATTTGTAAGCAGTTTCAATATTCAGATGTTTTATTGAGTAGATTCTTGCAGTAAAAGATATTAGCATGTTCTCCAGGTCACCAATTTCTCGAGTGGTCTATGAAAGAGTGCTAACCAGGAAGATCACAATACACTTGGAATCGGTGACTACATAACCCTAGGCAACATGGGTTCAGAACAGGATGCTCCTACCTCCCAATTGCTAGACTACTGTGACATAGCTTTAGATGTCATAGAAGACAAGCAAATGCTGATGTAATATGCACATACTTTGTAAAAGCTTTGAACAAAAAGGGACCATGGTGTTGTTGCACACAAAATGCAATAAATGCACACAAAAGGAATTACAGTACTGACAATGTAGGAGACGGATCTTTAATTTCTTAATGAACAGAACCTAGAGTTGAATACAGTAGTCAAAAGTAAAATCTGCATCATTCACTGTGAAAAGCTCAATTCCCAAGGTACTGTGCTTGCTCCTACCGTACTATTAATTATCCATTTACTTATTTTACTATATTGGATATAGACGAGGATACAAACTATAGTACTCTACCATCTTTTGCAGATAATAATAGGATTTTCAAGAGAGTAAACAATATTGAGGATACAGCAAATCTCCAATCTAATGTTTATCAGGCCTTTTTAATGTGACACAGAAAATAAAATTATCTTTAACAAAGTTCCAACTACTGTGCTATGGAAAAAACAAAAATATCAAAACAGAAACCACATATGTAACCAAGTCAAACCACACTATTGAAAAGAAAAAAGCAATATACAATATATGGGAGTACTGTAATCATATTGGAATACCTTAGAAAATTGCAGATCCTCAAGCTCTCTCTGCCTCATGGAGACGGCCAAATTCTTGTGGCAAGCTCAGTGGGTTTCAGAGGCAGGAGAAAGTGCCTAAGACTTGGCAGCTTCAGTGCTACAGCTTCGGGAGCTATGGAAGGGGTCCTCCCAGAAAATACTACTGTTCGTCAACATTCCAAACTATCAAATGGGCTGCCAGGCAAATTCATCCAAATTTTTCTTGGAACTGTTTACAGTATTCAATGCAGGCTAAAGCACAGTCTCTTAAAATCTGACCTACTCCTTTATTGTACAAGCTTTTGATTTTTCTTATTAATTTTAAATCAGTATAAAGAGAGCCATATATTTCTGAATCGGCATTTCATTTATCACCTAAACCGTACATCATATACAACTAGTAACCACGCTACTGCGCATTTGTTTCCCGTAACAACTCCATGGTGCACACAAACAAACAAAATAGTCATTCCAATATTGTTAAAATGCATTCCCTGTTCATGGGAGACTAAATCAAATTTGAATGTAGCTTTCTTTGGCTGTGATAGAGAGAAGAAAATTGCGATGACAACTAATTTATGCTCGCTGACGGATGAGACGCCCTGTGAAGGTCGTCTGGGTGATGGGAGTTGCAATACATATATATTTATGCTGATTTATTTCAGTGTCATTATTGACTTGTTTTTTCACTTTTTTTTAGTTATATTATGCAAATACATAATTTGTAATCTATAATAAATTGTGCAGAACATCGATACACATAAACATCCATGTCACTAATATGCACACATTATATTCTTGCACAATAAAACATAGTTGTTGCTATTATTACACTGCATATGCATGTTATATATAACAATTAACATATTTATGCACATGCAGACAATGAGTCACAATAACGTGGCATAAGAATGTTGACCAGACCACACACTAGAGAGCGAAGGGACGACGACGTTTCGGTCCGTCCTGGACCATTCTCAAGACAATTGTGATTATGCATTCTCAAGTCACTATATACACAATCGACTTGAGAATGGTCCAGGACGGACCGAAACGTCGTCGTCCCTTCACTTTCTAGTATGTAGTCTGGTCAGCATACTTATGCACAAGTTGGAACCACTAAAAAAGTAGGCCTGGTGAGAGCCATAATCAAGGAGCCCTGATCCATGGTCAGCCTAGCACCAAGATGTGAGTACAGGCATTGACCATACTGTATTTTCTTTTTCTTTTTATTACCTTCTTTTTTTCAAGTGCAATGATGCATTGAGCTGTCCATAATGTTTCTTGCATCACAGAACATGTAGATCATAGTTATGCACAGATCTGTGTACACTTATGGGCCAATCAGTATACTGTACTTACTTATTGGCCCACCTGTATTTGTCACTAATACTGTATGTGCATAACATTCTTAAAACAATAAAACATCAGTTTTGCTATTATTACACTATATACACATCACATAAATCTATACATTTTATTGCACCATAACAAACCACTAAGAAATTTTGGTGGGTGTGGAAATAAAATCCAAGTATAGCATAGATCGACACGCTATGAGCAGACGACGCCGGCAAACGACATCACCTGATGCATCAAAGAGCCTCCTATATACTGTACTATGTACAATACAGTCTAGCCACAACACTGCTGTATCATGAGATTCCTGTCACTAAATCACAAGTATCAATCATTTTCCACATGTTTATTTTCTTAAGGAGCATGAGATCCTGCTGGATGATCAAGTAGATTCACGAGACCATGTATCTGTGCTGTCTGTCTCCCACTGACTGGGGCCTGACAGCTGAGTGGACAGCGCTTTGGATTCGTAGTCCTGAGGTTCCAGGTTCGATCCCGGTGAAGGTGGAAACAAATGCGCAGGGTTTTTTTCACCCTAATGCCCGCGTTCACCTAGCAGTAAATAGGTACCTGGGAGTTAGACAGCTGCTACGGGCTGCTTCTTAGGTGTGACAAAAAGGAGGCCTGGTCGAGGACCGGGCCGCGGGGTCGCTAAGCCCCGAAATCCTCTCAAGACAACCTCAAGATAAGAGATAACCTCCCACTGTAAACATCATAACCAGCATTGTGTGGACTGACATCTGAACCTTGTACTTAGTCTTTATCACAATTAGGATCATCTATAACACTATCACCACAAAATAATCAGTTATTTATTTCATCATTATTAAGTGATGCCGTGGGCACTAGGTGTGAGCTGCTGCAGCATATGCTACTATGGTCGCCGTCTCAATAATGAGGCCCTCACACCCAGGAGGGGTGCCCACAATTTTTGGTTTCCAAGATAGCATCTGTTTACCAGCGATCTGAGGAAGTGGATGTGACTGCCATGTATCCACATTAGTTTGAAATCTAACACTAGACCTAAATGCAACCTTAGTTGCTGAGCGCACTGCCAATGCAACTACCCTGGTTGTTTTACTTAGTTGAAGGATAAACTTTCTATCACTAAGCCAACTTCTTCACTTTTACCCAAACTTCTACTTTTGTCTTTGTATTACGTGCAGTACTTACAATTTTTCTTTTTTTCTTCGAGGTTCGAGATCCAGTGCCATCATCGTCATCTTCATTAGAATATTTCAACTGAATTTGTTCTACCGACTCCGCCTCCTGAATCTGCACACAGTGCCCAGATGATGATTCAGATATCCTCTCGGACACCTGCTTAATGGCTTCCATCCATGCTTCCCTAAAGGCAAAAAGAGCATTATTACTTAACTGTTGAATGCTCGGAAGTCCATTTAGCCTTTTATGATGCTCTCAATACACTATATAAATACTGTATTACTGTAATATATATATAATAAACTAATATTTTTACCTGTAACAGATTGGGATGGAACACAAAGTATAATGATAATACTGTAAGAATAAAATAATAAATGTAGGAAACGGTAGTACAGTAAAGCTATATCATATAAAATTTGCTGCACTCAGCCCCATGAGGGAAACAAACCTCCACATGACTCAGATTCATAGATATCGAGTTCTTATTTCCAGAAGCTATTGCATGTCTTTGCAACCTTTCCATACTGATGTGATTTTTGAGATATGGGCACCTTACAACCACTGCATATTCCAAGTTTGGTCTCAAAAAGGTTGTGAACAATTTCTTTAATATTTTGCCATCCATGTACAGTTCAGTATTTAAAAGCAATTCAGAAACTGGAAAGCATAGCATACTTTAGTCACACAATGCCAGGTCTGATGGTGTAGTGTGGGGGATGTCTCGAGGCCTTTCGACAGGCTTCGGTCCAGGACACTTGGGTGTTCTGCCTCATGTCTCAGGCCCTTCAATGGACTTGGCCTTCTCTTCCTTGCCAGGTACAAAGGGATCCTTCCCAGTACTTTATGCCTCTCCTCTGGACTATTGTTTACAATTTGTTGGACAGGAAAGTCGTTGCCACTCCTTCATTCCTCTTGGTGATTTCCAGATGGCCACAGTTCTCCAGGCTTGCCAAGTGGTTTCAAATTAGTTTTGGCTCATTTGCCTGGATCTGCAGGTTGCTTATTGGCATGCTCCAATACACTCACAGTTCAGAAATTAGCTGTGGTTCAAAGTGGGTGCCATTTGCTTCCACATCCCAGCTCTTAATTTTGGGCTAAACTTAATGGCCAGAATCCTCATTACACTTATTCAGATTATGCTTCACCTCTATTGCATTTGGGGTGGATGTTTCTTCTCCACCTGTCTTCAAGTAGTTCCAGGTCTTTGTTTTCACAAACAGCTGGCTTCCATTCCTACTTCAACTGGACAACTGAATTCAACTGCCCGAAACACTTTGCGTAATAGTGGCTTTAGGCATTGTATGTACTAGCTCTATCTATAAATCCATCAACTTTTGTATCTTACCTTGTATGTATGTACCTTACCTGAATAAAAACTTATTTTATTTTATTATTTTTAACTTTGTCTTTGGATCAGGTACTTTCCTCTTTTTCTTCACTGTGCTCTCTTGAGTCCACATTGGCTCAGTACTATCTCTTCAAGGCTGTTTTTTTGTTGGTTTTAGCTTATGGTAGTCGTGTTTTCAAACTCATACAAGAGTGGGTTTTGTTCTTTTTGTTCTGAGACTTATCTGTATCTCCAACACAATGTGTCCAGTTTTTCCAAGAATGAGTTTTTTTTATAGTTTTCACTTAGTCTTTCCGACCAGAGGTGCTTAACAGCATCTGACCTTTTGCCACTGTGTAGCATTATTTGCATGCTACACATGCATCCAGTACTAATACCTGTGTGCAAAGCTTGCCTGGCTCTAATGGCAAGCCTTCTATTTCCTAGAAATTTAAAATATAAAATTAATCTTACATTTGTCAGGATTTGTACTGAAAACTTAAAAGCATATTCTATGCACACATCACACTCACCTGTCACTAGCTGACTGGGCATTAAAAGTACGTTCTATGACAGTTGTCCAATGAAGACCACGGATAATAAAAGTGTTAGGTCGCGGTCTTTCCGTCTTTAAGATCTGACATCGCTGCAAGGAAATAAAGGAATTTATCACTAGTTACATAAACCTGATAAAAAAATAAAGAAGTTAAGAATACAGCATACTAGGTATCTCTTGAGAGTTCTTTCCTAACAAATAAAACATGTCTTTGAATTTTCACCTCTAAACCAACTCTTGACAGCCTTCTCCAAATATTGCAAGGAAATTATAAAAATAGAATCATCTTGTTAAAAACCGTAAGTTATCCTACAAGGAATGGGAATATATGAGTGTATAACACATTCATACCCAGTGCAGTGTTGAACATTTATGTATTCAGTTGTTTTGCGGTAGCCCCTTGGCGGCTCCCTGTAGCCATCTTACGGGATTGCTACATGTCACATCAGTTGCCGGAGTTCTGTTTGGCTTACCAAGTAGAACTCCTGCAAAAACTGGTCCCATAGCAGGAGTTTAGAGCAGAGCTGGAGTTCTGTTTGGTCAGCAGAAGCTGGCCAGTCAGAAAAATTTTATTGTTTTTCAGCTTTTTTGGTTTCTAAACATAAAAGTAATTATTATATACCACACCATGGGTCCCAAGAAAGTCGGTGGTAAGGTTCAACCTAAGAAAACACACGTGAGGATGACCATAGGGGAAAAACAAGTTTCTATGGAAAGGTTCTTAGTGAGACAAACAAGCAGTGAGCCACAACCAGGTCCTAGTGCTATGCAAGCAAAACATACGAGAGAGAGTACCCCTGACACGTTATCACTGCCTGATGTTATAATGGAAGGGGACTCTCCTTCCATACCCCCCAACCTCTTGGGCTGGATGGTAAAGCGACGGCCTTGCTTCGTGGAGGTCGGCATTCAATCCACGATCGTCCAAGTGGTTGGGTACCATTTCTTTCTCTCCATCATATCCCAAATCCTTAGCTCTTTCCAAGTGCTATATAGTCATAATGGCTTGGCGCGTTCCCCTGATAATTCTCTCTCTCTCTCTCTCTCCCCCCTTCCATACACTAACACCTCTCCTTCTCCCTCCTCCCCCACCTACTCACTGTCTTCCATACACCACCAAGAGTCATCAGTGAAGGTAAGCTATAACTTGTACGCACTATAGTATAAAATATTTGTGTATATTATGTATGAAATGTATTTTGAAGTTAATATTTTTGGGATTGTGGAATGGATTAATTCAATTTACTTATTTCTTATAAGAAAATTTGATTCGGGTTGTGAATTTTGGGTTTACGAGCCGTCTCTGGGAACGGATTAAATTTGAAAACCAAAATACTACTGAACATTTAATTTTGAGTTTATGTATATAGTGTCCAGGATGCTAAATTAAAATTGGCACCAGAGGTGTACACATGCCTTTATAGACAAGCATGTGAATCCTAATGCACTCCCTTCTCCTTTAATTGCTCAACTTCACAATACTGTACCTCAAATTATCTGAGGCTTTGAAGCATTCTTGAGATTGTCTTGAGATTATCTTGAGATGATTTTGGGGCTTTTTAGTGTCCCTGCGGCCCGGTCCTTGACCAGGCCTCCACCCCCAGGAAGCAGCCCGTGACAGCTGACTAACATCCAGGTACCTATTTTACTGCTAGGTAACAGGGGCATAGGGTGAAAAGAAACTCTGCCCGTTGTTTCTCGCCGGTGCCTGGGATCGAACCCAGGACCACAGGATCACAAGTCCAGCGTGCTGTCCGCTTGGCCGACCGGCTCCCCCCATTCTGAGGTTGAGACTGTCTGCCTTTTGTCTCCAAAGGCAGACCAAAGGTCTCTTTAAGAGACAAAGGGTCTATCAGGGTGAAACACAAATACACCAGGCAATAACCCTATCAGTGCAGGGCAGGAAAGGGCAGCTCAAGGTCAACTGTAGTCGAAGTTCACACAACAACTTAGGCTTGTAAACAAATGCATCTGATTAAATACTAAAGACTGCAATGATACAAAAGCAGATGGGCCCCTACAGGACAAAGTCCAAAGGATGGTCAACACTTATGTAGGAAAAATCTGTGACTCAAAGTGGTGACTCAATGGAATGTTCAGCAATAGCCGACATCAGGTGAATGACCAAGAGTTTGCTGACAAGGGAGTCAGTAGGGTGGTGCTATCACCTGGTGGTAGGCAGTGGTATCTAGAGGGAGAGGGGTGTGAAGGGTGCAACCTAACTACTTGGTGGATTATATAATTATTTGCTGTTTTGTTTTACTTTGCTTACTCTCTCTTGTTCTTGCTGTTGTCTGTTGTGCTTCGCTACTTACTGGGGGGCTTGATTTTTCAGTGGGGGTGATTATGAATCCCATTCTCTGTGTTTTTTTTGAGGGTAGCCAGGTTTGAGCATCTGGGGCCAGATTCACGAAGCAGTTACGCAAGTACTTGCGAACGTGTACATCTTTCTTCAATATTTGACAGCTTTGGTTACATTTATTAAACAGTTTGCAAGCATGAAAACTTCCCAATCAACTGTTGTTATTGTTATAAACAGCCTCCTGGTGCTTCGGAGCTTATTAACTGTTTAATAATTGTAAACAAAGCCGCCAAAGATTGAGAAAAGATGTACAGGTTCGTAGTGCTTGCATAACTGCTTCGTGAATCTGGCTCCTGGTTCCCAGTAGGCTTTTAATGACTCGAGGGATTAAAGTGACTTAATAGTGTTAAGCAAATAATCTCAGTGTGGTTAGTAACAGAGACCAACCATTTGGCCCTCCAGAAAACCCTTGAAAATTTAAAGAAATATTTAATCAAGGAACTGGCGTGAAGTTTGGAGAGGTTAAGGAGCAAACTTTATAGAATTCATGAATGAAATCCTGACCATTCCAATTAATGAAATGAAGTAGAGCATCTTGGAATGAATTTTTTATAAGATCCATGGTATTTTCCAAGAAGTTGGTGAGGATTTAAAGAGGCAGAAAAGTATTAACTGGTTACAAAAAGATGCTAATGACCCGGGTTATGGTATACAGAGTAAATGACAGATTCTCTAATCCATTACAGTGAGGTGGAGGAAGGCACGGAGGACGACGATGAGGAAGTGGAGGAAACAGCACCACAGACAAATAAATTCAGTGGCCTGATTTCTATTGAAAAATGAATCATGTGATTGTCAAGAAATAGGAAGTTGGAAGCAAGACTTCAGGTGAAGCAAAGAGCTAATCATACAAAAGGCAAATGATAAACGGAAGGAAGGCCAAAATAGACTTACACGTGACAAGATCAGAAAGCCAATGAACTTCAACCAGTGAAGCCTAAGCAGCTGCTAGTCACAGCTGATCTTGCCAAGCACTTGCGCAGTAATATTAGGGGTTCTACCTGTTGTCTACTTGTTGGTTTTGGAGATGAGTGTCCCCGGTCGGGAGCCAGTCGGCCGAGCGGACAGCACGCTGGACTTGTGATCCTGTGGTCCTGGGTTCGATCCCAGGCACCGGCGAGAAACAATGGGCAGTTTCTTTCACCCTATGCCCCTGTTACCTAGCAGTAAAATAGGTACCTGGGTGTTAGTCAGCTGTCACAGGCTGCTTCCTGGGGGTGGAAGCCTGATCGAGGACCGGGCCGCGGGGACACTAAAAAAAAGCCCCGAAATCATCTCAAGATAAGAGATAACCCCTGTCACCCGGTCAGAGACTGGGCCACAGGTTGGTTGTTCAGCCAGGTTAGGTTAATGCATAAAATTGAAGTTCTTCAGTGATCAAGTTGCCATTAATTCCACCAAGTACCAATTTCTGTTACTGTATTGTTATTCCATTTTGTGTATATGAAGATACTGTCATAACAATGTAGATTTATGTTTATTATATCTAGAAATATGAATTAAAGTGGTTGGGGTAATACAAAATAACAAATAATAAATTTTGTTTACATGCATCTTATGAAAGTTGGGAAAATCTTATCTCCACATGATTCAGATCAGGGTCATCTCCATATGATCCAAATCAGTGAGTTTAATGAGTACCTTAATATCTGGATGACAGGTTGTATTGAATATACATTTATATAAACAAATCCACAAGGGCCGTGACGAGGATTCGAACCTGCGTCCGGAAGCATCCCAGACACTGCCTTAATCAGTGTCGGGATTCGAACCTGCCAAGATGCTCCCGGACGCAGGTTCGAATCCTCGTCATGGCCCTTGTGGATTTGTTCATTTGATGCATCACGTTAGTGTGATCTCTGTGTGCATTTATATAAATTTATGTTCACGTGATATACTGTACTCACTTTAACTGTGAAGTTGTTTAGTGGATCATCAAGGCCATGGTCAGGCTTGGTTTTGAACCCCAGAAGAGTTCCATCTTCAAGGAGAAAGAAATAACGTTGTCGCCAGTTCTTGATGTGTTCCCCACGCTTGTTTAGCCACCCTTCTTTTACAACTGCGGGGGGCGGAGTAGTACCCACCTCGCCCATTGTGTCCTCTTGTGTAATAAAAGGAAAGATATTGCGTAAATAACAGCGTATCACTGCAGGTCATAACAAAAAAACAAATTATTTATTTATTCAAGCTATGAACAACTATACACATTGTAAGAGTTTATGTGCAATGAAGCAAACTTTGAAATACAGTACAGTATGCTGAACAGCAGCTTATACAATGCAAGGTTATTTGTACTGCTTTAACACTTTCTCAAAAAGGACAAATAAATAACATTGTTAAAAATATATATATACTGCATAATTTAGGGGAAACTTGTAATAGCATGGAAGTTAAATTAGATACCGGGTATCTCATTAAGATGATTGAGCAAGATGCTTTTAGTCTCCTCTACCAGCATATTTTCCTTGCTACCCCCCCCCTCAGGCCTCTCTCCCACTTTCAGCAGTGCCAAGACCTCTTATCTCTACTATATATACTGTACTGTACTGTACTGCCAGAACAACCGTGGACATCTTCAAGAAAAAACTAGATAGTTTTCTTAAAATAGTGATGGACCAACAGGGCTGTGGTGGATATGTGGACCACTCCAAATAACAGCCTGTTGGACCAGCTCTCATGTCAAGCCTGGCCTCGGGCCATGCTTGGGGAGTAGAACAACTCCCAGAACCCCCATCAAGTAGGTATATACATAACAATAAACAATCTAATCATGCTGCATGATAATATATAATTGTTCATGAATTTCAATCAACTCACAGATTCACACACAGGGACATGTTAGACATTTGGGGTAATTTCAAGCCACATTGATTTTTGTTAAGAATCTTTACAAAAATTAGGATGCATTTAAATTCAAGAAACAAAAAAAAAAAAAAAAAAAAAATTATTGTAGGGTCATTACTTAGTTGCTGGATGCAAGAGTGGTTGAGATTTTACCCATCATCACAGTGGGATCATTACCACATATGCCAGACCAATCCTGGAGTATGCGGCTCCAGCATGGAGTCCGTATCTAGTCAAGCATAAGACTAAACTGGAAAAGGTTCAAAGGTTTGCCACCAGACTAGTACCTGAGCTGAGAGGTATGAGCTACGAAGAGAGACTACGGGAATTGAACCTCACTTTGTTGGAAGACAGAAGAGTTAGGGGGGACATGATCACCACATTCAAGTTTCTCAAGGGAATCGACAAGGTTGATAAAGACAGGCTATTTAACACAAAGGGACACAGGTGGAAACTGAGTGCCCAAATGAGCCACAGAGATATTAGAAAGAACTTTTTTAGTGTCAGAGTGGTTGACAAATGGAATGCATTAGGAAGTAATGTGGTGGAGGCTGACTCCATACACAGTTTCAAGTGTAGATATGATAGAGCCCAATAGGCTCAGGAACCTGTACACCTGTTGATTGACGGTTGAGAGGCGGGACCAAAGAGCCAGAGCTCAACCCCCGCAAGCACAACTAGGTGAGTACAACTAGGTGAGTACCTCTTTCTGGTCCCCAAGTGAGACTCACTATAGCTGCAATGGAACAGTTTCCTCGAACCTAGGTAGGGTAACCTCTCGAAAGCCCCCTGCACTCAAAATACCATGAAACACAGCCTCTTAGCCCCAATCCACCCAAATGACCATTCCAGAGAAAGGGCAATGAGGCCAGGTACCCACCCAAAGGGGGCAGAGGCCAGTAAAGAAGCTAGAAGAGGGGAAAAGCACAACTGGATAAAACAGCTGAAGCAATTACTCAGACCTTGGAACAAAAAAGAAGCTGCCACACAAAGTCACCTCCCAAAGGCAGCAAGACCATAAAAAAAACTACTGGTGGACTTAGTGGAGACAGAAAGATGACCAACGGAGAGCAACAAAGCCAAGGAAACACCCAGAAAAGCTACAACAGCAAGTGTGGCTGGAGACTTTGAGGGGAGCATAAAAGCCTTCCCCTAATAAGACCGACAAGAAACTACTAGCACCTAATGCGTAACAGACCATCAGGAAGACTGGGTGCAGGGAATGTACGGCTGAACTTTGACAATGAGTACAGTGCTTGAATCAGAGTTGCAAATGTTGTCCAAGCAGCTGCTTGTTTTGGTGTACTTCACTTTCATGGTGGTTTCTCTATTTGGTAACGTGGTTCACCTTTTATCCTGTTATGAACAAGAAGATAACACTCATTCATAACAGCATTAAAATGTTTTGTTGCACAATACAAAAGCGGAGATATGTGTTGCAATAGCTAGATATCACTGAATGTAAATGGTTGCACAGTGATTAGAATACTGAATAGCATTGCATGATCCAGTAATAGTGTACAGTGAAACGTCGACTTATGACTGCCCCTATTTACGAATTTTTTGAGTTATGACGTAAATTTTGTTGGAAAATGCAACTCAACTTACGACTGTGTCCTCGACTAACAACTTTTGTTGATACACGTTTGGGTTGACTGAACGCATGATTCCCGATGGTACGGGCTGACCTGCCTCAGTTTACCAGAGCCGCCTGCTTAATATCATCATGTTTGTAAAGAATTGCATTATTTTGGTGCTTTTTTGTTTTTGAACATAAAATTAGTTATTATATATCATGCCATGGGTCCCAAGAAAGTCAGTGGTAAGGTTCAACCTAAGAAAACACATGTGAGGACGACCATAGAGGAAAAACAAGAGCTCATTAGTAAACATGAAAATGGTATGAGGGTCATTGATGTAGAGTAGAGGATGTCCCTTCCTCATTTATTAAGAAAATGTGTGCAGTATGGGAAGAATTGCAAAGTTTTGCTGAAAAGTGTCTCCCAAATCAAGCTGTAGCAGACCGTTGTGTTAACCTTTTTAATGACAATGTGATGTCTCACTTCGGACAAGTGTTACAATGTAGGGAAAAACAAGTGTTGCTAGACAGGTTTTTAGTGGGACAAACAAGCAGTGAGCCACAATCAGGTCCTAGTGGTATGCAGGCAAAATGAAGGAGATAAGAGTACCCCAGAAAAGTCATCAGTGCCTGATGTTATAATAGAAGGAGACTCCCCTCCAAAACACTAACACCTCTCCTCCTTACCTCATTCAAGGTAAGATATACGTACAGTACTTTATTGTAGCTAGTACAAAATGAGTGTTATTCAGTATAAAATGTATTTTTAAGTTAATATTTTTGGGGGTGTGGAACGGATTAATTCAATTTACATTATTTCTTATGGGTAAATTCGTTTTGACTTACGACCCGTCTCTGGGAACGGATTAAATTCGTAAGTCGAGGTCCCACTGTACTGTATTTCAAAGGTTACTTCACACATTATTGCATGTTGAATATCATTTTTCATACTGGTTATTTGTGCAATCGAGTGTATTAAGTTGGAAAAGGGGCTTTGCCTTTTGCCTCTACCTTGACTTAGGGGGGGAAAGGGGAGTGGACAGGAATGATCCATGTCCACTTAAGATGCCGCCGTCTGTACATCGAAGTTTTTTGTATATTTTTTAATTAGGGGTTTTAATTACATAATTATAAGTTATGCAATCCTGAAATATTGCAACACTCTTGATTCATATTCACTTGTCCTTGCTAGGAGTACTGTAATGTATTAGGAAAACTGAGTGAGTTTTAAAATAGCAGTAGTCCCTTGCAGCGAGCCACTGTCCATCAGCGGCATATAGTAGTAGTACAGTGGGAAGGTGGATCTCATAGTGGCAGCGTGCTGAGTTGAGGGCTTCAGTGTAAGATCAGTTTTAGTAGTAGATTGTACCTTTTTTATAGGGCATGTTCATAAGCTCTTTAGCTGCCTGATAATGTTATTGAAGCCCTTAGCTCAATACACGTAGTTCGGGAAAGAACGTCAATGCTGTTCACAATTTAAATAGTACAGGACTGGCATTTGTAGAAATTCCATTTATGTTTCGATTATTATGGGACTGATTTTAAAATAGGTGCTATTCTATTGCCAACAATTTGATACTAAACTGAACGACGTAGCACAAAATATAAAGTCAGAAAATTGGAAAGAATATAAACCTTTGAGTGTGACAGAGCACTCACGGGCAACGCCCAGCCGACTTTAACCTTTGGTGGGTGGTGCCTGCGCATGCCAAGGCGACCTTGAGGTGGCGTGCCAGGCCAGAACCGGGGCAGCCAAAGTGTTAAGATATCTGGCACTCATAACTTCATGTAGTTTACCTACTATTTGGGAGTGCTGAGACTCCTGGTAAAATATGTCTGAATAGTTCGAATGTAATTTAATTGCTTGTAATTCCTCGTTACCGAGTAACTTAAGTAGTTTACTTGTGATGTTTCCTGCTCCATTCAGCAATCAAGAAAACTGATGGGAAAGAATTTCAGAGACCTGTAACTTCAAGAACAAGAGGTCATAGATTTCAAGTAACTAAACAAAGCTGCCGAAGAAACATAAGAAAATTTATTTTCGAAACAGAATGGTAGACGGTTGGAACAAGTTAGGCTGAGAAGGTGGGGGCCAAAACCGTCAGTAGTTTCAAAGCGTTATATGACAGAGTACTGGGAAGACAGGACACCATGAGCATAGCTCTCATCCTGTAAGTAGTGTACTATACACTTATGTAATTACACTATAAATTAAATTTAATAAACTGTCATTAGTTTTTTTAATATTGGTGAAAACAGAGCTTCCTGCTATCTCCCAGAAAGTTGTAAACATATTGCTACAGTTCTCAATGTCGTACTTGTGTGAGCAAGCATTTTTATGTCTAATGAATATACAAAATTTAACAGAGGAACAGACTGACGTCTGTGGAACAACAACTTTATGAGTGGCTATCAAACATTCAACAATGAACTAAGTTGCTGGACTTAATTTTTTAATGCACAAATTACACATTAAATTAGGAGACAATTAGGATCAATGTTATTCTTTTGAAACTTTTATTAATTTTAATTGTCAATTTATTATAAAACAATAAAATGTAAATAGCTTTATTAACTGTATAAAAAACAATTATATTACCGGTAACACAAAATCATCCCAAATTATATACGCAATGTGTATAACCTACAAGCATGATGTAAATTGATTTTTTTTTTTGTTAACAGAAATTAGTAAACAGAAATATTTTATTCATAAGTATGAGTTAACTATTACATGTTAATGTTAGTGCTTTGCATGTTTATTTTGTAATTTACCCCCGTTGAATATAATACATTTCCGCCAGGTATGGGTTCTACGAGATTTTACAAAATACTAGTATTTCAAGGGTTCCTCCAAATAAAGCAGGTTGGAAATCACTGCTCAAGACCAATGGTAAAGTTTGTATAACAAGCCATGCGTAATGTCAAGTTAACGTACAACTATAATATTCACAGAGAGTATTTGAAAATCAACTGGAATCAGTATTTGTATTTGAATCAGCAAGGTGATTAAGTACACTGGAGAAGTAGCTGGTGGCACAGTGGTAACACATTCATCCTACGCTTCATGAGCAACGCGTCTATGTTCGAGTCCTGGCTAGAGAGGATTGTCTGGGCATCAGACCTTTGCTGTTTGCCTCTGTTCACCCAGCAGTAATTGGGTTCCTAGTTGTTAACCGATTGGCAGGTCATGTTCCAAGGAAAACTAATGGGCAAGGTATACCATGAGCAATGGAAAGGGAATGCTCTCAGACTGCTAACAGGAATCGGAAGTCGTCTGTTTCTGTACTCGCCTGTGTAAGAAAAACGTGAGTAATAAGAATCATCAGAATGACATCGTTGAATGGGGAATGTCTCACGACTCATGTGGGAAACTCTCATACTGCCTTTCAATCCCATGACTCCACACGCCTGTCATCTATATCACCTCTTATCTTTTTCTGTTCCCACAGCCATGTACAGGCAGTTCACCAATTATGAACACGTTCTAAGACTATGTAAAGTATTTGTTTGGAACATGGATCAAGATTTTCCATAGGTGAAATGCTATACAAGTGGGAGATGGATTCCCAGGCCACTAAAAATCCTCACAAAAACTAATATTTTTGTGGCATAATTTAAAAAACCACCACATTATTTATCCTGAATGATGGAGTAATCCTGCTTGTTAAAATTAGCTGTTTTTTAAAAGTGAAGTGGTATAATTACAGAAATAAATAAACGAAAATACATGTGCACTGCATTAGTGGTACACCATTTTGTATTTGGCCTCTCGAATAAATGCCTCCCCACCTATCTCCAACCCAGGGCCCCACCCCCACCAAGGTAAACATGACCAATCATGTGTGTGTGGGAGGTCATTAAAGGACTTGAGGCCACTGGGTATCAGGATTGTATCTCGCACACCCAGTCACCCACACACACAAACCTACATCCCCAAGCACCCACCCAAACAAACCTACACCCCCCATGCACACACCCACCCTGCCCCCACCCTCATGCACCCTCCCATACAATAATGTACTCCATGTGGCTGCCACACGGACATTTGCGCTGCCGCGAAATTCAAAGGGACACTCCAGCAAATTAGTACAATGATTTTATGCATGAAGGAGTTACATGGGGACCTGGGAGAATGTTCGTTTGGACAAATGTTCATAATGTGGGAACGCTTGTATAAATGTATCATTTATAAGTTTTTTTTTTTTTTTGTTTTTTTGCCCCACACCAGGAGAGTGGTACCTCTGATGATAGCCACACTTTAAGGGTTAAAACACTAACACTACTGTACTTGCACACTGTGGCAATGCCAGGCTTCTGAGTAGTCTTTCTACCCATAGGAACAAGTACCGGATACCTTTTCAAATAAATCTTGTCCTCTGCAAATGAATGGGAACATGTGGAGAACAGAGATCAATTAAAAACCCAGAAGAAACCATCCACTGACATACAGGAACATTTTGGAACATTCAAATGCCTCCCTGTTGTGACCCTGGACCCATCTGTGGCAGATGGGTCTCAGGATCGTATGGCATGTGTTTACATATAGATAATGTATGGTGAGGATATTGTAATAAATATATTATTAAATGATAGGGCTAGTTAGTTAACTTTGAGGGTAAGGAAGGAAGGATGAGTGTACCTGTGTTTATATACAGGTACCTGGAATCTCTTACCTGGAATGGCAGGCAATTGCGTCCCTGCCAGACATAAGACCACTTGATGCTCCTAGCTAGATACACTTGTGGTGATAATTTGTACTGTATAGTGTATTGTAAAGCTAGGATGTTACATTTATACTAAGAATTGAATGGTGGCAATTAAATATTGTATTAGAGATTTAGTTAGTGGTTATTGTACGATCAGTGACTAAGCCAGTAATATAAGGTAGATGCGGTAAAGTATGGTGTGTTACTTGGGGGTGTAGAGTGCAATAAATAGTATTAGTGATTAACAGGTGTTTATCATCTTAGCTCTTTGAATGGGGTTAGGCAATCTGCTCTAGACTGCAGACTATTACTGCACTATCGGTTTTGGGAACCTAGTTCCCTTGGGGGCCCTAACTCCATTGAATGATACTTTCCCTTACGCTATTTGTCCTCTTAACAGCCCCACTTATAAACACTTTCAAAGAATTTTTGAAAACAATGAGTTGTCAAGTAACACTCAAGCAACTGAAGCACTCAGTATCCGACTACCTCTACCAACTAGAGATATCAGGGAAGGAGATATCTGGAATATGCCTGGAAGGGATTCTAGGAGTTCTTCTGCTGTCCAAGCAAACCTGTCCCCTGCAGACTCCAGGAAGAAAGAACCCAAAGGTCAAGAATGGGGAGCTCCAGAGAAACCACTCAGAAAGGAGCATTTCATTACTATACACTAAATGCCATTTTTCTGAGCTGGCTCACCTCAGTAGCTTCCATTTACTTCCTTTCTATGGTGCTTTGTCAGAAATGAACATGAACAGAATCATTAGGTGACTTACCTGAGGAAGTAACAACAGAGGAGATGGACGAGGTGTGTAGAGATGCAGAGGCAGCCATTTGGTGAGGTCAGACGTCCAAGCGCCACCCACTTGTGACGAGAACGAGAGAAGCCTGCAAAATATCTGGAGGTTAGAGAATGAAGTAAAACGCCAAGTCAAAATAATGGCCACGGGCAGTGTAAAAAAAAAGGTGGACAAAGCTCTAGGCTAGCTGAGCATGAACACCAAATGAATACTCTGAGAAAGATTTGCCATAGTACAGAGTAACTTTGCTCATGGATTAACCCTCAAACTATGAACCAATATTAACTTTATGTACCAGTCCTAACATATGCACACACACAAAAAAAAAAAAAAAAAAAAAAAAAAAATCTTAATTTGAATCCAGGAAGCACAAAAATATTAAAACAAACTATTTGTGTGTCATGTGTGATGAAGTCATAAGGAGGCAAGTTTGGGTAGTTGGGGGGGGGGGCTTAGGGGGAGGCTTGGGGGGGGGGAGTAGCCCTCCACAGTAGTTCAGCTATGAGCAATTTCTCTTTCCATTTTATTTTCTTATTTCTTGCTTTATTTATTTTCTCCATGGTCAAATGATATATTGGGATGTCAGTGGTGGCCTTAATGTTTCAGAATTTGATCCACTTGATTTGTAAGCTGAAACTTCAGCTTACTTGCCAAGCTGAAGTTTCTATTTTATATTAAAGTTCTTGTATAATTTTTAATTATGGTGTGTGTGGAAATTCAAATTATGTTGGCTGTGGTATAAAAAAAATTGCAACTATGTTCACTTTTGGACAGTAAGAATTCTGCTTATCCAAATGTCTGGTTCATCCAGCATGGGGTTCTACTGATACAGTTCTGATAAGCTAGCTTCTACAGTACTTGTGAGAGAGGGGGTTCTGTAGCTCTCTTCAAAGGTGTAATATAGTTTACACTTCACAATATATATTAATGTTGCTCACATGTTGCATTTATGTTTTTCTCTACTGTATCCCTAAAGTCTGCTATGAATTTCCCCCTAATTTTCTGGCTTGGGGGACCCCTTTACAAACCTAAGTCTTTTTGCTGGAGCCTTTGTATCTGTCCTTGAAAGGAGGATTTCTGAGAAGATCAAATGCCTCATGTTATCTTGAGGTTATCTTGAGATGATTTCGGGGCTTTAGTGTCCCCGCGGCCCGGTCCTCGACCAGGCCTCCACCCCCAGGAAGCAGCCCGTGACAGCTGACTAACACCCAGGTACCTATTTTACTGCTAGGTAACAGGGGCATAGGGTGAAAGAAACTCTGCCCATTGTTTCTCGCCGGCGCCCGGGATCGAACCCAGGACCACAGGATCACAAGTCCAGCGTGCTGTCCGCTCGGCCGACCGGCTCCCATGTTACCTGAAAGTACCAGAGACTTCTACTCGAATTCAAATAGAAGTCTGTTCAACTTCAGTTCCATCCTCCTGTTCCAAAGTTTGAGTCTTGTTACCTGTTGAATTTCTTGTTTCTTCCTGTCGACCACTTGCCATCCTTTATCATCATCACCATCGTTTTCACATTGAATCCGGTGTTCCACTTGGCAGTTTCAATTTCTGTTTCTCTGAGTTCATTAGGCTAGTTGCGAAGCTTCAGTCTCTCTCTTGTTTTGGTTCACTGACTTTCTGGATGCCTTCCCAGTGAGGTGATGGCCTGTCATTTGCTCCCCCGCACTTCTTTTGAGGTGGCAGGGGCCAGGTTCTAGTTCCTGGTAGGCCTAAGACCTCCACAGCTGATGTGACCTAGTAGTTGGGAGCAATCTCAGCGGGATAGCTTCAGGGATCTGTCGGGGCTCACCCAATAAGCTGCCGTTTCATTATACAGTAGTACCATATTGCCACCCACCCACCCACATGATAAACAATACCATATTGCCATGCAGCTGATATACCATACTGCCACCCACATGATATACCATATTGACACCCATATATATAATCCGTATACAGTATAAATAAAAAATAAATATACCACACTGATATCCACATTATATACCATACTGCTACCCCACATGATATACCATACTTCCATCTACATGATATACCTTTCTACCACTCATATAACAATATAACCAAATATATACATATCAGGAACAGCTTACTCAGCTGACATGGCAAGTTCATTTGCAAAGACAAGAAAAGAAGAAAAAGAGATATAACATGTTTACTTTCAAACACATAAATGGTGGAGTATATTCTGCATAAGCAAAAAATAATCCAAATTGAAATATATTTAATTTAATCGTGCACAATTAAAAACTAAATTGTAATGCAGAAAATGAAGAGTCCCAGATAATATCCACACCTACAGGGGCCATATAAGATACAGGGGTCAAGTACAGGGGCCTGTGGCTGAGTGGACAGCACTCCGGACTCGTAATCCTAGGGACCGAGGATCAATACCCGGCGATGGCAGAAACAAATGGGCAGTTTCTTTCACCTTGATGCCACTGTTCACCTAGCAGTAACTAGGTACCTGGGAGTTAGACAGCTGCTACGGGCTGCTTCCTGAGGGGTGGGGGAGGATCCGTTGATTGATTGACAGTTTAGAGGCGGGCCAAAAGAGCCAGAGCTCAACTCCCGCAAGCACAACTAGATGAATACACCTGACTCCACCCTTAACTCTTAATCCTCACATCATAATGCACATGAAAAAATAAAAAATAAAAAAACATTTAACATAATATCTCATATGAATATTTGAGCACAGGAGGTAATTGCAGACAGTGATTTAGAGCTGTTTAAGAGTTAAACTAGGATTATACTGTAACCTGCTAAGATCATGATGAGAAGGTAGAGTTGGCTTTGATGCCTTAGTTCCACTCATGTTTCCCCCTAAGAAAAATTAAATGAATCAATGGAAAATCTTATATGATTAAAAAAATAGGGCTATGATCACATTGCAAATAAGTAAAGGCAGAATACCCACCTTGACTTAGAATCGTGCAGGCAGTAGATTAGCCTCGTCTTCACACAATCTGAAAGAAAAGAAAAACCAGCGTTGATTGTAATGAAACGCCTCTTTCTGGTTGAGCCTCAATGACTGCCTGAAGTTATCTTGCCGAGATGGCTCCTCACTATCGAGTCACATCAGGTGCAGAAGTCCTGTTTCGACTCTAGTAGCAGAAACCAGAGTCGAAACCTGGTCCCAGCACAGAAGAACAGGAAGCAGGAGGACACATATCATCATCCTCACTGAGAAAGTACTCACAAAATTAGCAAATCTGTACAGACAACTCTAGGGTAATAGGATACCAAGAAAAGGCCACCAGAAAGTTAAGAGTCAAAACAGCAGGGTAAGGACAACACAGAAAATTAGATCCTGAAACTATTCACCCCATTGTTAGGCAGTTCACCCACTAGTAGCAGCTGCCTGCCACCGGATGGCCATGTAACCAACTACTGGATTCTCCCACCTGACACATCAGTCACCGAGTCATGAAGACAGAAAAATTAAACCCCTAAAAAGGGATAGAGGGGGGTCCAGGGAGCCTCCATGAAACCACCAGAAAATTAAGAAAAGGCTCCAAATGAAGAAAATGAACATCCAGATAAAAAAAAAAAAAAGGGCACCGGGGAATAGAATGAAACTTCCTATCCCTACAACTGGAAGTGAGGACTAACAAAACACAGTTAATCTAAAGAACTAGAAACCTCCCTTATGAAAGAGATAAACAACAATACTAGTTCTGTATACACTCTTTAGAAAGACAAAGAGTAAGGGATGACAAGACTGAAGTACACTGTATATAAATGGATAAAAGGTACGTACAGTCAAAGTCTTTGTAGTACAGTTGGGTTCATTCACGACTCGACTGGAAATGCTGGGTTAGAATCCAGGGCAGGACGGAAATGGTCGAGTGCATTTCCCATTTCCCTTGTTCATCTAGCAGTAAATAGGTGCTCAAAAGATAGTCAGCATGTTGTGGGGTTTCATCCTGGGAAGGGTCTGAAGTTTGACCTTGGGAGCACCTTGATACAAGCCTTACATGTATATACAGTGGCTGCCTGTCCCCCAACACTCTGAATTAAAAAGGGGAATACAAATGAGGTTTAATGTGGGAGCACTGGATTGTTTCAAGCATAGGTTAGACATTCTGTGTATATGAAAAAGTTTGGGTGGATATAAATGGTAGTTTCTTTATTCTTATGTTTGGTGTCGTACTCTGTTGTTTGGTTTGCTTGAACTTGAACATCGTTCATGCCATTTTCTGGCCTCAAAGTTTTTCTCGAGCAATTTTCTTTTCTAATTTTCTTTGCTTTTCCTTTTTCTTTTCTTTCTTTCCTTACCCTCCATAGGCATTCATAGCTAATGGAGGATAATTTAATTTTCAAGTATTTAAAATGCAGCCTGTGTACTATGCTGGTTTATCATATGATATTGTATGTTCCATGACCTAAACCTGGACTAGTTGAAATAGTTGACCACATAACCTGAATGCAATTGGGCATGGGGTTGAATGAGTTCATGAAGACTCTCCCATGCTTTGGTAGTGTGGTGGTACAGTGGTACAGCACTCTGCTTTGCATCACGCGGGCAGCGGTTCCAGCCCCAGCAAGGACATTTGGCATTTTAAAGTATTCCTTGGTAATATAGTATATACTTTGCAGAACTTCCCTCCATCCCTCAAATTTCTCTTACTGCTAGTATATATAATTATATATTTAACTGGATTACTGTTATTACAGAAAACTTTTAGTGGCCAATTCTTCTCATTCTGAAAAATACTTAGCATACAGTAATGTTCTATTTCCATCATTGCAACTCTTGCCTGAATTTTGTAAAGAATTTGTAATATTTGTCTCATTACTCTTTTTTGTGTATGTTTGTTTCTCTCTCTGGTAGATTATTACAGATTTTTCCCTCTCCAACTCCTGTCTCGTACATTTCACTAATTTTTTATATTTTTTTACCGACTTTATCGCTGTTGACATGATAATCTGCTCTCCCTCGGAGCCTTTTGCTACTTCAGCAAAAGTTTTATCTGGTCTTGTTCCCCTTATCTCAATTACATTATCTTCCTGTATCATTGTGTTTGTATGTAATTACCTAAGTGTAATTACCCAAGTGTGGTTACAAAATGAGATCTACGCTTATGGTGTCTCGTCTTCACAGCACTTTGTTATACTGTATAACGCTTTGAAATTACTGACAGTTTTGGCCTCCTCCACCTTCTCACTTAACTTGTTCCAACCATCTACCACTCAGTACGCAAAAGTGAACTATATGATTTTCTCGAGCAGCTTTGTTTCCTAAGTTTGAACCTATGTCCTCTTGTTCTTGAAGTTGCAGTTTCAAAAAAATCTTCTTTGTCAATTTTATCGATTCCTGTTACTACAGTATTTTACAAGCATTAACTTTTTTTTCTTTTAACTTCTGACTTTAGTATTTTAAATGCCTCTAACCTCTCTTCGTAGCTCTTATTTTTTCTGTTCTGGAAGCCATTTAGTTGCGTGGTTTTACACCTTTTCTACTTTAGTGATGTGCTTAAGATATGGGGGACCATACATCTGTTGCATATTCCAACTTTGGTTTCACAAAGGTTGTGAATAATTTCTTTAATATTTTTGCCATACACGTATTTAAAAGTAATTCTAAAGTTGGAAAGTGTTGCTCCATACACTTATTGTCCAGGTCTTCTTAAAGGGCATGACAATCGTCTAAGTTTCTTATGTTCCCTAGAAGCTATGCATCCTTGGCAAACATGTTCAAATAATTCGGTATTCCTTCTAGTATATCGTTTATATAGTACCTGGCAATGAACATTACGGGTTCTAGAAGTGAACTCTGTGGTACTCTACACTGGCAACACTTCTCCAGTCTGATACATTGCCTCTTGATTGCTGCCCTTATTTTTCTGTCAGAGAATTGTTCATCCATGTCAGAGGTTCCCCTGTCATTCCTCCAGCATGTTCCAGTTTTTAGAATTAATTTTTCCTCTATTTATATATACCCAACCACTTGGGGTGGACGGTAGAGCGATGGTCTCGCTAAATGCAGGTCGGTGATCAATCCCCGATCATCCAAGTGGTTGGGCACCATTCCTTCCCCCTGTCCCATCCCAAATCGTTATCCTGACCCCTCTAAAGTGCTATATAGTCATAATGGATTGGTACTATTTCCTGATAGTTCCCTTCCCTTTCATTTATATATAATTCAATCATGAGAAATAGCCTAAGCTACTCTATCCTCTTGAGACGTACTTTATTCCCTCAATAAACGTACTTGAACTTGTCATCCCTTACTTGTGTGTGTGTGTGTGTGTGTGTGATTACCCAAGTGTAGTTACTGGATGAGAGCTATGCTTGTCGTGTCCCATCTTAACAACACTCTCTAAGGTCTCTTATATAGACTACATGGGAAGAACCCCCTTACTGAATAAGCTAGACATTTGGACAAGCAGAATTCTTACCGGGGAAGTCCAAAAATGAACATACCGTACAGTATTTGCAATTTTTTGTACCACAACCAATTGCATAATTTGAATTTACACACGCTAAAAATAAAAAATATCATTTAAAACAGAAACTTCAGAATACCTTGTTGTAGTTCATCATTATGTTTGATTCTGTAGATCTTGAAATGTGTAGTTCTTGAAAAAATTATGTAACAACCTCCAGTTATCTGGATTTCAATTCGGATATGGCAAAGTTTTGCCATAAAATGATCTGGATGTGATTTTGGCTACATAACCCAAACATTAGGTTCAGCAGGCTTCAGATAACTGAACTTGTAGAGTAATTATATACTATCTGACAAATGATGCTTTGCAACTACAATAAGTTTTGACATCTACAGCCATCTAGCTGAACTTGTTTCAACCATCTATAACTGCTTGCCAAAGAGAACTTTTGTATGTTTTCAACACCTTTTTTTCTTAGCTTGAACCCATAGTATTTTGTTCTTGAAGTTGCAAGTTAAAGAATTTCTCCATGTATATTTTGAAGAGTCTTGTTATAATATGATGGCATTCCTCTATGGCAGTGTCCCGTGCCGGCGTCCCTCCGTGCAGGGGTCCCTCCGTGCAGGCGCCCCTCCGTGCAGGCGCCCCTCCGTGCAGGGGTCCCTCCGTGCAGGGGTCCCTCCGTGCAGGGGTCCCTCCGTGCAGGGGTCCCTCCGTGCAGGGGTCCCTCCGTGCAGGGGTCCCTCCTGCAGGGGTGTGCAGGGGTCCCTCCGTGCAGGGGTCCTCTGCAGGGGTCCCTCCGTGCAGGGGTCCCTCCGTGCAGGGGTCCCTCCGTGCAGGGGTGTGCAGGGGTCCCTCCGTGCAGGGGTCCCTCCGTGCAGGGGTCCCTCCGTGCAGGCGTCCCTCCGTGCAGGGGCCCCTCCGTGCCAGCATTCCTGTGTTTCCTTGATTCTACCTCTCCAAATGAGGCAAGGCTCATCTTCCTTATATTGCTGTATCTGTCTTTACATAGGTCTGCATCTCTCTCAACCTTTAATGGAGTGGAGAACAGATCTCCATGCCTTGGTGTCTGTTAGCTTTATATTGGAACATGGAACATACAGTACAGTGTATGGAATATATCTCTAATAACTTTTTGGCCCTTCTACTGACCCCTGTGAGATGGCCCTTGTACTGACCCCTGTGGGATGGCCCTTGTAATATATTCCTCTCTGTGGTTATCTCTGTATTACCGAGTGTCCATGTCTGTATTGTCTGTGTGTATTTGTCTCTCTGTACCTATGTCAAAGTTTATGCTTTCTTGTCTATCTATCACTTTATGCCACAATGTCTGTGAATACTTATGTCTGTCAGTGTATGCTTGTGTACCAATATCTACCTTGCTATATTCCTCATAATCTTAAGGTAAAACACACGCTTAAATACACACAATAATTAATGAAGCTACTTGATGGTGGTGAGACCATCCCAGAGGATGCAATTGGGATTGTATGCTTGAAAGGGTGGCAAATTATACCAGTCCAAATGCTCTTCAGTACACTCCTCTGAACTAGCAGTGTGCTAACCACTTCTCTTGCCAACACATTTGCTCAGTCACACACACACTCAGTTTCAGGAATCTGTACACCAGTTGATTGATAGTCGAGAGGTGGGCCCAAAGAGCCAAAGCTCAACCCCCGCAAGCACAATTAGGCGAGTACAATTAGGCGAATACACCCACAAATTAATCAGCTAGTCAAATCAGTATATTATCAGTTAATAAGTCAAGTCAATTAAGCCAAAATTCTGATTTTAGCTAGTTCTAGAATATCCCTTTTTTTACAGGGGGTTATTTCAGATAAAATCCAGCGAGTGAATACGATTCATTATTTAATTTAGGAATCCATTATATGGTAGCTTGGACTTCAATATATATATGAACTTGGTGCAATATATTGGATACATAACATTTACATTGCTGTCTTTCTAATGACAATAAAACTAATTTATATTAGTGCATTGGTTAATTACACAATTAGTCAATTAATTACACAAAGCATGTTTACTGTGAATATTTGGTAAGCAATTGTATGTTTTATTAAGGCAATAATTAAATACTGCATTTCAGGTGCATGTAATTAAAATTAATGTACACGGTATTACTAAGTATATATTCACGGTAAACTCAGGTAAAGGATTTGAGATGCAGCTTATTTCTTTCTGGTGACATATTCACAAATGAAAAATAAATGAAATCAACATTGTTCTTCAAGAATTTGGAGCCTCACTAATCAGTCTATGGATTTGGCACTCCATGGGAAAGTAAATAAGAAACTTTTATAAAAATACAGTATATACTATGTTTCACTCATGGTAGCACAGTGTAACGATTTTTAAATATAGCTTATATTTTGGCCTTTATTGTGACAATTTATATATCTAAGACGTTTAGAAAAAAAAATGAGATAGTTTACTATGCAATGTGGTCCCACATTTTTTTTTATTTGTATATACAAGAGTTGTTACATTCTTGTACAGCCACTAGTACGTGTAGCGTTTCGGGCAACGCTACGCGTAGCGTTGTGGAACACCTTACATCGGTTAACCCAACTTCTAGTTGGGTCTGACTCTGAACCGGCACAGAACAAATACATTAGTTATATGTCACTTTGCGTAACAGTTATTGTGAGCAAATTTTCACGCATAAGTTAACTTAACCCATGCCATGCTGTATATTAGTAATCTGTGAAAATTTTGTCTCATGCAAAATAGTTTTGAAATACTGTACCATAAACATTGTGCAGTATATAGAATGAGAACTTGTATACTTATGTACACAACCCATGTATTTAAAAAACATTTTATACAAAAGATTTGCTCTTGTAAATTTGCACCATCTTGGGTGCAAGTCACATTGCACCCAAGATGGTTCACTAATGGATTTTAAAACCTAACCCAATTAGAAGACACGCTTTGCCAGAATGCCTGTGTGCAATTTGAATGCATCCCCTGATATTCATACAGATTTTAAAACACAACATAACTAGTGATAAATGTTGACCAAACCACACACTAGAAAGTGAAGGGACGACGACAATTGATTTGAGAACGGTCCAGGATGGACCAAAACGTCGTCGTCCCTTCACTTTCTAGTTGTGTGGTTTGGTCAACATATTTCAGCCATGTTATTGTGCCTCCTCGTCTGCTTGTGATAAATGTTAAGAATGAGTGTGTGTAGCACGTTGAAATGTGTGTGGGTCCTGTAGTACGGTGGTTTGAATACTCGACTCATAATTGGGGATCCCAAATTCAATACCTGGGCGGGACAGAAATGATCGAGCACGTTTCCTTTCACCTAATTCCTATTTTCACCGAACAGTAAATAGGTACCTGGAAGTTAGGCAAGTGTTGTGGAGTTACATCCTAGGAAAGGACAGTAGTCTGACCTATAAGGGGACCTTAATTCAAGCCTATGTATATATTCAAATTCAAATTCAAATGTTTATTCAGGTAAAGTACATACATAAAAGGTGTGATACAAATATTGATGAATTTATAGATAGAGCTAGTACATACAATGTCTAAAGCCACTATTACGCAAAGCGTTTCGGACAGGTAAAACACTAAGACTAAAACTTAATACTAATTGAGATTAAAGTATAAAATGTGTTGAGAGAATATAAAAATACAAAAGGCGGGAACATGGCAGAAAAACAGCAAAAAATACAATTTGGTCGACAAACAGCAGTGTTTAAAAAAAAAAAAAAATAGCAGACATGGGTTGACATTATAGGGGTAAGGTAGGTTACAGGGAGTTAATTAATTAGTTTTTAATTAGTGCTTAATTTAGTTAATTAGTGCTTAGTTTTTATCCTAAACTTGTTGAGAGAGGTACAGTCTTTAACATGATTGGGAAGGTCATTCCACATTCTGGGTCCCTTGATTTGTAGAGCATTTCTAGTGCACTTTTAGCATTTCATTTCTATATATAAATATATAGACTGGCTTCCTGTTCCCAAGAACCAGGAAATATAACATTGGCAAAATAACTGGATTCTCACATAAATGCTGGTTCATGCGATGGTACAAGTTATGGTGCCACGACATACTAGGGGCCTCGTAGCCTGGTGGATAGCGCGCAGGATTCGTAATTCTGTGGCGCGGTTCCCGCACGAGGCAGAAACAAATGGGCAAAGTTTCTTTCACCCTGAATGCCTCTGTTACCTAGCAGTAAATAGGTACCTGGGAGTTAGTCAGCTGTCACGGGCTGCTTCCTGGGGGTGGAGGCCTGGTCTAGGACCGGGCCGCGGGGACATTAAAGCCCCGAAATCATCTCAAGATAACCTCAAGATACGCGCTGCAAATTGACCGGAAACCTTTATAAGCCCTTAAGCTATAGGCCTACCCTATAAACACCACTTTCAAACATTTTTTAGCACCACAAAAAAAAAAACCTTAAAACTAAATCAAAGATAACTGTGTAGAATAATATAAGCTGTGAAGCAGTTCAATCTAGCTCTACCTATCCATGACATAATGGAGAAGTTACATATATATTCATATGAGTCAGGTTAAGCACCATTGAGTCTGGCCAGTAACTGGATGGGTAACAATGTGCCCCACACCCTCGGCCTTAGCTTAAAGTTACTTTAAGTTACTTTAGGGGATTTCAATAAGCCCAAGAGGCTTCCTGGCCCTCGACAATGGTAGAGCAAAAGAGTTTCTAGAGGTAGACTGAACTAGAGCCGTAAAGAAGTATGTGTACTAGAGGCAGTCTTCCCTCTCTCTCTACACCACTAACTAACCCCTACTAACGCCACAATCACCCCCATAACCCTATTACAATCAATATTGGCGCAACCTAAGGGTTTAAAGCCAATCTATGGAAGTTATTATTACATTAGGTTTCCAATGTTGTGTTTGTGGTGTGGTGTGGTGAGAGCCGTGTTAAATACTGGCCTGGGCTGGCTTCTGCTGCTGCTGCCTCCTGCTTGAGTCATGAGCCACGGTCAGGCACTGGTCACGGGTGCAGGCATCCACCATTACCACCTCCACACCATTATATTGTGACTCGTGTGCATCAGGCACTCCTCCACACCACCACACTCTCAGCTGTTTAGTGTGTCTTTCTGGAGACTGCTCCGGTACCCTCGGCCTCCCCCTCCTCCTCCTCCCTCTCCACTCAATACAACCCTATTAAACATTTAACCCGCTTTATATATACTTTTTTCCTTTATACCATAAATAATAAATGTAATTATGACTTAAGAGTTTGTTAAGGAAAGAGAGAGAGACAGAGAAGCGGTCTCCCTCCTCCTCCTCCCTCTCCATTCAATACAACCCCATTAAACATTTAACCCGCTATATATATACTTTTCCCCTTTATACCATAAATAATAAATGTAATTATGACTTAAGAATTTGTTAAGGAAAGAGAGAGTGAAAGAAGCGATCTCCCTCCTCCTCCTCCCTCTCCACTCAATACAACCCCATTAAACATTTAACCCGCTTTATATATACTTTTTTCCTTTATATCATAAATAATAAATGTAATTATGACTTAAGAATTTGTTAAGGAAAGAGAGAGAGAGAGAGAGAGGAGCGGTCCTCCTCCCTCTCCACTCATTACAACCCCATTAAACATTTAACCCGCTATATATATACTTTTTTTCCTTTATACCGTAAATAATAAATGTAATTATGACTTAAGAGTTTGTTAAGGAAAGAGAGAGAGAGACAGGAGCGGTGGGTTGGATAAGCCGGGAACCAATTATTCCCAGACCACCCTCAGGGGGGTCCTCGTACAGCCTCTCTCGCCGCTAAATTAGAATATGTGTGTATTAGAATACAGTTCTCTGCTGTATTTCTCTACTCTTGTTGTATCACCAGCACACACACACACACACACACACATGCATCTATATTACCTAGCAACAATGCGCATCATTTCATTATCAACTGTATTCGTAATAAGAATTAAAGTAGATTAAGTGTTTCACGGGATAATTATTAATTTTGTAACTGCACATATCTATCTATCTATCTATGTTGTTGAATATGACCGAAAGACTAAGATTAATGATTTTAGCACGAATCTTTTTAATATTTCTTATGTTTTTCCAACCCGTCCTCGACTCAAGTCCATTACATCCAGCGGTCGACCCCACAGACGCATTCATAAATTTTAATATGCTGTTCATTCAAAACGGGAATTTTCTCAAGTATAAATTAATATTATAATATATTAGCATATTGTGAATATATAGGCATAGGATAGGTTAGGTTAGGTGTTTAGGTTCTGTTGGCGATTATTTGTAGTACGTGGGTGAAGCATTTATAGCGTTGTGATTCGAACAAAATTCGTCAGTGAAGCACTTGTTCCGGATATGTTCGAACGTCAACAATTGTGAGTCGTGTGTAAACCGCTTTTCATTCATAAACAGGGGGTTTGGCGGGTGCATGGAATCACTTTTGGATCTTTGTTTGGAGGACGGGCTGGTTTTTCTTCACTGTCGGGGGGAAGTTGAAAAAACGAACTCTCCAAAGCTCATTTTCACGCCTATTTTTGGTCTGACACCTTGGGATGGGTTTCACAAAGTCACTCCTTACATCCTCAAAGACTAATTTACCATGCTGTTGTTGTTTTAGATTAAGGTACTCAGAACGAAATGTTCATGTAGCACGGGCTATAATGAGCCTGTAATTGAGTTCGGTTGTTCGTGATAACCTTGTTACAGTGATATTTGGGTAAAAGATTTAAATGGAGTTGGGGTTTGTCCTTTTTATTTACTTTGCATACCTCAGATCTTTAGTAGATTATGCTGCACCTCTGGCTGCTTTGATGCCTGAAAGAAAGCTTGGAGGGCTTTACATATTGCAGAACGAAGCCTTGAGGATAATCCTTGGGTGTCCTCGTACCACATATATACTTAACATGAGAAAGGAACTTAATATTCCGAGCGTCGTTGATCGTGTTACTGAAATTAACTGTCAAATTGGTATCAAAATGCTTAGGTTAGCTCATCCTAACCCTTGCACAGAAACCCTCCAGAATTTCTGCGTTGAAGGTCAACATTGTTCCAAATGTATAACTAAAACTGGAAGTGAACTGAACTGGAACTGAGTGTATCAGGTTTATAATTTGCACCAAGAGAGAAAACAACGGCATTTTCCTGCACCGTGGGAGATTACACCCGTTCCAATTTTAATCCCTCCCTTTCCACCCAAGAAGCAAATTAGAGATCAGCCTAACCTTCGTCTTGAGGCAAAGCTCAACGCCCTAAGCCATATTGATGCTCTGTCCACAGAGCATTCTCTCTCTCAAACCATATATTTATGGTGGGTGCAGCTGGAAGTGCAGTTGTCCTGACCATGGGCGATGGCTTATATATTGAGTGGGGAGTCCGTATAAACAACTGGGCTTCTACCCTTCAGACCGAACTATTGTATTTGTCTTGCTTCTTGCACTGAAATGTGTGCAAGTCTCCAAACTTCTTGATACATTAACTGTAAGTGACTCGATATCATCCCTAATGGCTCTCAACTCTTAAAGACATAACTGTAACATACTCGTGTCTGAAGATAGACACATATACAACATAATTATTAAGGATGGTAACAGAGTCCATTTCATGTGGACTCTATCTCATGTTGGCCTCCGATGCATGGTAGAGCTGATAAGTTAACCAAAGAATCTGCCTTTAAAGGAGCCGTTGAGTGTAACCTTGGATTGTCAATGAGCAATCTGAGAGCAGCAGTACACCGAGAACTTCAACAAGATCTTGTAGATCTGAGGCAAAGTGAAATCGACACCAGTAATTCCATCTATCATCATACTATCATGCAAGAGGAACCACACATCTATGGATCATCCAATAAAATCAACAGACTTCTAGATGTTACTACTGCTCGGCTTAGATTTGGTAACAAGTATCTCTGGGAATTCTCATTATCTGCCGATGTAGACCTGACCAAATGTAAACTGTGTCAACAAAATTATTCGCACACCCTCCGTCACTATGTGATGGAGTGCGAAAAGATACGTGAATTCAGAGACAATTCTATAACAAACGTTCAAGTGATGTGCCAATATTTAATTCAAAATGATCTGTTTCCAGAAGTCTTGGCCAAATATCCCCAGTTCGCTAATTATAGGTAGTAACTAAGTAATTGTAACCTATCCACCGCTGCCCACTGGATGGGGGGCGGTGTGCAGGATATAAACATATCAATTGTGACACTAGCTCTCCACATATATCAGTTGCTTAATTTAGAAACTATACTTGTGGAGGACTATACTCTCGCGCCCATTGTTGATGTTCATGCCCGAAACGCTTTGCGTAATAGTGGCTTTAGGCATTGTATGTACTAGCTCTATCTATAAGTCCACCAATCTTTGTAAAAATTTCTTGTATGTATGTACCTTACCTAAATAAACATTTATTATTATTATTATTATTTATGTGACGATGTACATTCAATTATATAACTAGTTCATCAGGATTGTACCTTGCTTAGCTAAATGAATTATGGGGGTTTCAGTCCCTGAGACCATTATGTGCCTCTGTAACCCTTTCCATTACCGCCCACAAGATGGGTATATTAAGCAGTCGATTAAGGCGCGTCTGGGATCCTCTCGGACGTAGGTTCGAACCGTCATCACGGGCCTTGTGGATTTGTTCATGGGTATATCTTGAGATGATTTCGGGGCTTTTTAGTGTCCCCGCGGCCCGGTCCTCGACCAGGCCTCCACCCCCAGGAAGCAGCCCGTGACAGCTGACTAACTCCCAGGTACCTATTTACTGCTAGGTAACAGGGGCATTCAGGGTGAAAGAAACTTTGCCCATTTGTTTCTGCCTCGTGCGGGAATCGAACCCGCGCCACAGAATTACGAGTCCTGCGCGCTATCCACCAGGCTACGAAGCCCCCATTATCAGGTGGGGAGCATAATATATAATTGGTATAGCATAATAAATTAACTAAATTAACTGGTACCCTCATCAAGGCTCATGTGGATTTGTTCATTGACATATCACGATTATGTGATGTATCTCTGTATTATTCTTAGTATTATTATTTAATATTTTTAAAACCTTTTGATAAGATTACATGGTAGCGGTCCGTCTAATTACCGCAAGCTACCACAAGCTACACAAGCTTCACAAAGCTTCCTGGCAATATATTAGTAATGAATAAATATGATATGTTAGGTTAGGCTGACCTAACCTAACCTAACCAAACCAAACCAAACCTAACCTAGACTAACCTAACCGACGCTTGGATCGTCGACTTGATTTGGCGTCACCAGCTCTTTATTTTCGTCTAATTACTTTATAAAAAGATACTTTTTCAGATTAAAATTAAGTTTTTTCGTGTTGTACATTCAGCACCAACATTATAATAAGTAAATATATCATATTTATTCATTACTAACGTCTTGCCAGGAAGCTTTGTGAAGCTTGTGTAGCTTGTGGTAGCTTGTGGTAGCTTGTGGTAATTAGTCGGACCGTCTACGAGGACAGGAAGCCTGCTTGTCTGTCCGAGATTGGAGGTCCAGACGCTTGTGCTACTTTCACGCAACTTTGCACAGTGTTTGATGTGAGGTACGTGCCCAACATGGGCACAAGCTATCCAACCACTTGGGCTGGACGGTAGAGCAACGGTCTCGCTTCATGCAAGTCGGCGTTCAATCCCCGACTGTCCAAGTAGTTGGGCACCATTCCTCCTCCCCCCCCCTCCTTCCATCCGCAGATCCTTGTCCTGATCCCTTCCAAGTGCTATATAGTCGTAATGACTTGACGCTTTCCCGTGATAATTCCCTTCCCTTCTACTCAGTGAGGCAGAAATAATCATGTACAGCCCCAGTGAGAAGCAGGTACAAAATAAAATGGGCACTAAGCAGAATAATAGGTACAGAATGTACGACCAATCTCTCAGGGCCAGATTCACGAAGCAGTTAAGCAAGCACTTCCGAACCTGTACATCTTTTCTCAATCTTTGTCGGCTTTGTTTACAATTATCAAACAGTTAATGAGCTCCGAAGCACCAGGAGGCTGTTTATAACAATAACAACAGTTGATTGGCAAGTTTTCATGATAATGATTGATAAAGATTAAGCCACCCGAGAGGTGGCACGGGCATGAATAGCCCGT